TGTAGGAGGGATGAGAGGTTTGAGTAGAAGACTGGATTGAGTTGGAGAGTTGAGTAGGCGAGTAGAGTTGCAGAGCAGGAGCAGGAGAGTAGACTCGACGTTTCGGACAGGTTGACTGTCCGTCTTCAGGAGTGATATTATGATTGTTGAAACAGTTGACATTATTCGCACCTAGTAACGTCAAACAGGATTATTTTTGTATTTTGATCACACAGAAGTTTAATGTTGCAAATATTTTGGCACGTTTCGATTCATTGAAGTTGCGTTTATCTACCAGATTTTTGGCTAGAATCAGGTTTCTCAAACGTCTTTCAGGCAAATTTAGAAGGTGATAAACGCAAAGCCTTTTTTAAAGGGCTTTAGATATGGGCATATCTAAAACGCAAAAAAGGTGTGTTTTGTATGTGACATACAGCCAGAATCACGTTTCTGAGAGATCGATAAACGCAAAACTGTTTTGAACCTCACATACAAATAGGACCACCCAGGTGTTGTGTACAAGCATGTGTGTGAAGTTGACCTCCGAGAAACTGTCTGCTTCCCGGGTCAAAACAGCTGGGCAGACACAAGGCCTTTATTTTGAATCGTGAAGGGACGATAAACGCGACATCCCGCAAATCACGATCGTAATAGTTGTGTATGATAGTGGGGTTCAATAGTGGGGTACGATATGTACATATATAGTGGCAAGCCCCGATAAACGCGCCCCAAGATTGTCAGATTCCAACTTAAGGCTACCATTTCTCTATAAAGAAACTCATCACAGGTAAAAAAAAAAGGGGGGGGGGTACTTTGACACTAATCGCAGGACACAGAGACAACATTACTCAAGATTAACACTATTTGATTTCGACCAAATTCAAGAAAACACTTTAGGGCGATTCTGTCCCATTCAGACAACATTATCAAGCTTTTGAAGAAAAAGACTACGCAGTGAAGATCTGTTTTATAGTACAGTATAGTAGTAAATTACTACACTGTTGGTCATAAAGGTGGAATATTTATTTTTACCCCAGTTTAGGGAAGGATTTTTAAAAATTATTTATTTCTAATAGATCTAGATAATGGCATACATTCTCAGATTTTATTGAATACTAATTTGCGAGTATTTGTTTTGCGTGACTGCTTCATCATATGTGTGTTACTATGCTAATCAGCTAAGGGACCTACGTCCTTAAGTCATGATTGACAGTAATGAGGATTAATGCCTCACAAAAGGGCACTGATATATAGCTGATCGACACGATTTTTATCCTGGGGCCTCACAGTAACGAGGCCATTGCTTAGCCCCTGAATCATGACTGTACGCAGTGTTTGCTAGGTACGCGGCCGCCCCCACAAATCCCCCAAAACGAAGAAAATGCAATAAATTGTCAAAAATTCATTGCAATTTCCCCCCGCCCCCAACAGGAAAAATTCCTCTGTACACTCTTAATGTCAGCGAGTAAATTGTGCCGAGTAAAACAAGCTGAGTAACAAAATGAGCAATTCAGTACTCAAGCTGGAGTAAGAAGTCAATTTTAGTGGTACTCGTCATCCGAGTAATTTGTTACCTTCGATAAAGAGTAAATCAATGACTCAACATTGAGTAAGAACTTCGTTTGTGTCAATTTTGAGTAAACTACGGTTGGGTATTACGCGGCGGCAGGTGATAAATAACTCAACATTGATCTCTTACCCGAATTTACCTCGGGTGCTAGTGAAAGTTGGATCGATGGAAAGTGCAACTAGCTGTCAATATGCATGTGACACCTGTTCTACACATTTTTACATAATTGCAGCTGTATGTTCCTTTGTCTACCTAAGGAACTGTATATTTTGTCCTCTTTCATTGTCCGCCATGTGCATGTCTCGTGCATGCATGTGCGCGTGCAGAAAGATGCGAAAGAACTGAGATAGATGATTGTGACACATTGGGAAGAAATTCTGAGCTCATGGATCGAGCTTGGAAGAGCTCCAACCGACATCTAGGAAGGAACTGGCTTGGACTTTTTTTCTGGCCTCCTTCAGAGGAAGGAGCCCACTGTTTTTGTTGGTGCTTTGAGGAGCACCGAGAAAGCCAGGACAGTGTTATGTAGTCCTCGAGAGAAGCGCCTATTCATGCTCTTCATTGACAGCAGCAGTTGACTACTGCTTCAAGATGTTTCAAGTACTACAGCTGGATTACCCTGCCCAGGCAGCTGTCATATGGGACTTCTTTGATCGTCTCATTCATGGAATTCGTACCAAGGATCTTATTAAACCATTGACCCTAGTACAGATGGACTAATAATGAGATTCTTTCTTTGATGAGAGAACTCTGAGTTTTCACTGTGATTCAAACTGATTTGGGAAATTAAAGTCCAAAAATTATGTTACTGAATTTAAAATGTCGTTGACTTTATGTTATTTGCATATAATAGTGTGTGAATGAAGAACTTCAAATCAATGCTAAATTTAGAAATCAGGCAAAATTATGGTTTATATTCTCTATTGACAAATAATGGTTACTTAACAGCTGTTAAAAAAAGAACAATATTAATCAGCGGTTTAGTTAAACCCTTAGTCAAAATGTTAAAACCCTAGTTGAATCCACCTTTGTTTTAGTCAGTATTGAGTAAAAACATGTACTTAACTTAGTAAATGTTTTTACTCAATATTGATTGAGCAACTAAGCGTTACCCAGATAACATCATACTCAATATTTGAGCAAAAAATTGCTCAAATAATTTGAGTCAAAACATGTACTCGTTAATTGAGTAAAATTTGGCTCAACTCATGAGCAGTTTCTTACTCGACATGAGTTGATTACGTTTCTACCCAGTACTGAGTAAAAAGGGAACCGCTCAACAAAGGAGTAAATATTGAGTAAAGGTTGACTCATTCAAACTGAGTAGAGATTTAGTCTTTTATTGAGTAATATTTTTACTCAACAGATGAGTAAATTTGTTACTCAACACATGCTGAGTAAAGTTTACTCAAAAGTCGGGTGGTTCCCTTTTGACTACTCAAAAGAGTAACATTTTGACTCAAATTGAGCAGTTTTTTTTAGAGTGTAGGGCCATGCATTATGGTTCAAGGCATGGCCACACAGAGAAATTTTTCCTGTTGGGGGCGGGGGGAAATTGCAATGAATTTTTGACAATTTATTGCATTTTCTTCGTTTTGGGGGATTTGTGGGGGCGGCCGCGTACCCTAGCAAACACTGCGTACAGTCATGATTCAGGGGCTAAGCAATGGCCTCGTTACTGTGAGGCCCCAGGATAAAAATCGTGTCGATCAGCTATATAAGTGCCCTTTTGTTAGGCATTAATCCTCATTACTGTCAATTATGATTTAAGGACGTAGGTTCCCTAGCTGATTAGCATAGTAGCACACATATGATTTAGCAGTCACGCAAAAGAAACACTCGCAAATCAATATTCAATAAAATCTGAGAATGTATGCCATTATCTAGATCTATTAGAAATAAATAATTTTTTAAAATCCTTCCCTAAACTGGGGTAAAAATAATTATTCCACCATTATGACCAACAGTGTACAATACAATTCCCTTACAAGGCAAGATAGAGCTGAAATGTCGTACGGGACACAGAAATATAAGTTTAATATGCTCAAATTATGTGAGTTGCATTGGAAAATATCTGTGAAATATAACCAACGGATAGTTTAGCTATCAAAGAAAACTTGAATACACCTTTCACATTGAAAATGTCTTTCGTTTAAAAAATGCACAAGATTAAAATCGTCATGACGATATGTCTTAGCAGACTCTCCCTGTGGAATGCCGTACGATACCTTTAATTATAAAGTAAACAAGTACGCATGTATACACAGTGCTGAATAAGGTATGGTATCAAAATACATGTACAGCCTAAGTTCGATTTCTGAGTATGTAGGTCAAAGGTGAAAGGTCATAGCTCATTAAAAAAATGAAAAAACACGTAATTATATATGTGAAATTGTAGTTTAACTTCCTTGCCTAGAAATATATAGTATGGTCCAATGGAGGTAACTTGTACTGACGTATAGGCCATTTGTACCCTGCGAGGGGATGCTACGCTTTGCGTTGACTTGTTATCATTGCAGCATGAGCTAAATGATAAATCCAGAATATTTTTAAAGAATCTGAGACAAAGTTACCGAATCCCTTAACAAAAATATATAGATATTTATTGAAGCTGTTTTGATTTTCTAGCAACTTTCGAAATAATTATGTCTTACGCAGTAATATCCTTGTGCGTCATCTATTGAAACGTGCAAGCGTCTATGACATGTTACGTAATCCAAACATGATTTGTGTAGGCAATGCCATAGGTTATTGAAATTGTCTTTAAGTTGATTTTTCGAAAGTGTTTCCGATCATGTTAAATTTATTTTGTAAACTTGTAGTTCAGTAATCCTGAAAACATTAATTGAGGATCTTTTATTGTCAGTTCCATTTTTTCCTTCCCATTTCCAGTGTAAAATTAATTTAAGGATACAACATATTGTGCATGACATGTTTGAATCCAGGGGCGGGTCCGGGGCCGCGGGGGGGGGGGGGTTGAGGCATTTGCCCCCAAGCAAAGCAGTTTATGTCCTTTTTTTGTCCATTGATTGCTTTATTTGTTTTTCAATGGTATTGTTTTGATTTTACTTTTTTTTTTTAAACAATATGCACGGACTCGCTTAAAAGCAGTCTGTTTTGATTGATGGTGAGTTTTTACCGTAAATAAATAAATACAATACAATTTTCAAATCGTCCAATCGTATTTTGTGGTGTGCGCGAATTTTCAATAAACCTGTTAACTAATATTTTGCATTCCTCTTGATTAAAAGTTCTTCCGACAAGTCAAAAGCTTGCCATAGGCTTACTGATATAGCAACAATAAATGAATGTTAAGTTAATGTAATCCTGTGATATGCTATATACGTAGCAGATAATTCTAGTAGTTGATAATCAAGGGGTTCTGTAGTGAATCGAAATACAATTCCATTGTAACAAGCGTATTCGTCTCTATTCTTTCTTCTCTTTACAGGATGGGTGGGATCTGTCAACATTGGCCTTAACTGTTTAGCCAGCCCGCTAGCGGCTTTCTTGGAAAGAAAAATTGGCTTTCGCATGACAACAGCTCTGGGGGTTCTCCTGTGCGCCGTCGGTGTTTTCTCGTCGTCGTTTGCGCCGCAACTCTTCATGCTGTACTTCACGTACGGGACTATGTACGGCTTAGGTATCAACCTCTCCTTCCATGCCAGCCTGTGCCTCATGGTGCAGTACTTCCCGACCCAGAACTGTCGCAGGGCCACTTCTATTATCATGATCGGAGGAACCTCTGGTAAGTTGATAGGGGACAAGCCATGCATCGTCGGCGAGACGTGCCGTAGAAGAATGCACTTACACTATTTACAAATGTAAATGCTCCCTTGCATAATGTATTTTTAATTTCAAATGAGAGGAGTATGTAAGCTGTATCAAAGAGGAGCTGTCCCCCCCCCCCCAAAAAAAAAAAAATAAATAAATAAATAAAAAGGAGAAAGTCGCCAATTACTATCCGAAGGAATGATGAATCAACACTGCCAATCCCCGTGTAAAACATAAACATTTCTTACTTGGTCACTGAAAGACTTCGAAAAATGAAACAGATGTAATTTGCAGAGACGTTGCTAACTTGAAGTTGATATAATGCGTATTTTTGTTACAGCAAAGAGTGGGTGTAGCCATCTCACTCCCTGCCCCACGCCCTCCCCCCTCGATTTAAAAGATTGATGTCCGAGTCGCATGTATTGCCTTTATAGCAGTTGGCAAATAATCAATTCTTTTTGGCTTGGGCCCCCTGATTTTTTTGATGTTTTTTGTTTTTGCTCATTACGCTCCTGGGTGCAATAATATATTTGAATAACCTTGTACATGTATTAGTGGTATAATCGATCAGAAATATAAAAAAGGAAAAAGCAACAAAAGGAGGAAGAAAAGAAGCATGGGCTGATGGCCTTTTTTGTTTGTTTGTTTCATTTTTTGTTGTTGATTTGCCTTTTGCATGCTAGAGTATTTTGTAGCCACAAGAACACACCAAAAACCTGACGATCTATATTATGCCAAAATGATAGTTTTAACATTTCTTTTTGTTTATTTGCTTTACAGGAATGTTGGTGTTCAGTCCTGTCATGGAGAGATTAATCCGAATGTTCACGTGGCGTGGAGCGCTAAGGATCAGCGGCATCTTCGTTCTCTGTCTCGGGCTTCCCTTCGCCTTACTCTGCAAGTCACCCGAAGAGACTGCTAAAGAGGTAGAAAGGGTGGACAGAAAGTACAGCAAATGCGCAGAGGCCCTCGAGGACTCGGTAGGCAAGTACAAACGGGACCTGCAGAAGGTTTACCCAGAGGATGATACGGACGATCGGAGGGTCTGGAAGACGAACTCTTCCGAGGACTGTGACGATAATGAAAACGAGGATGAGGGATGTTCATTGCGCGGCGGCTCGAAGACACATGGTACGAACTCAAACTGTATAAGTGATAAAGAACATGCCATTGATCTTCTAGAGAACGTTGTTGTCCAGGAAGAAGAAGAGAAGTTAGGATGCCAGAAGTGGCTCTTTATCCTTGGCTCTTGGAGATCCTGGTTTTTCCTTGTCTCGGTTTTCATCTCAACATTTTCGTGGAGCTTTTACTGGGTTAACCTTGTAAGTTGCAGCTTTCGTCAATTTTCACTTGCAATAATGTAGGAATATTGAACGCAATCGCAAAGACGTTCGTAATATTAACCCAAGTCTTGCCCATCAATAATTAATGATATGGGCGAACATGACATTAGTCTTGTTCAGACGATGGCAATTTAAACCCGCGTTTCGTTAAACGATGTTTCGTTATAGTATCGTTAGTAAGCGTCCACACACACAATTTCATCATATAACTATCCCGAAACGGTAAAACTAATCACGCCTAATCACAGAAAATGTTGTGTGAGGACACGGGGTAATGGTGTAAGTGAAATATACATGAGATATTTACTACTGCAGGGATTGAACATGGCTAATAATGTAGTACGTAATCCAAATATAATTTCTCTGGAATGTACAATAGGGTATTGACATTAGAGGATTTTTGAAAGTCTTTGGATCCGATCGTGCTAATGTTTTTCATGTTTTTCATTAGATTACTCAAACAACAGGGATGGAGCACATTTATCATTTGCTTGAGTGAAGGTTTCTTCTTGTATTTCTATTTAGAATGTAGAAACTTTTAAAGTGGCGGACTGGGACGGGGCTAAATTTGGTCAAGGAAATTGGGTGCGAACGGCCTATTGTAGTTTCAGTTGCCCGACCGGTCCATTGTAGTTTGCCCGACCGGCCCTCCGACAACAAACCGACCGGCCGTAGGCAATATTAACGGCTGGTCCTCTGGGAAACCTCTAACAACTCCCTATTACTAGTTCCCTCCTCCACCATGTCTAATAAACAGGGCAGTGTTTCTCGAAACCGTCATAACTACAAGTTCACCGACATCCCATTGAAACGCGTGTTAAACTTAATACACGCCTTTCAATGGGATGTCGATGAACTTGTACTTATGACGGTTTCGAGAAACGCTGCCCAGACCCCCAAAATATGTTTAACAAGTTTGCCAAATAAGGTTCTATCTGGTTATTTTTTTCTATATCAACAGAAGACTACTGTAAAAGAGTTTTCCTAATCTGTTTTTGTATAATAATTTTGTCAAGAATGACATTAATTGATAAATCAAACCCATTCAAATGTGTTCTCCAGGCCTTTGACTGGTATCGATCGCAAATCTTTCACGCATCACAAAGTCATGAACACGAAGAAAGTAGGTCACAATGTATAAAACCAAAATACAGTTTGGGAGCATTAATTATATTTGGGATAAATTCACAGATGTTAGTTCTCGCCGAATGTTAAAGCTCGCTTTATCAAGGAAAAACGCTCATCATAATGACTCAAACGCAAAGGACTTACAATTATAGAAAAGTATAGTTACAGTATAATGTAGTGATGAATAATCTGTATTAACATCAATCAAGTAAATGAAGCTAACATGAATTTTGTTTGAGAATTAGGTTGCTTTATTGGTCTATCATAATACCTGCCCCTAGCCAGTATTTCTACCCTTGGTGATAGGCCTAATGTCTCTTTGTATGAATCCATCCCCGCTTTTTACAACACAGTTTAAAAGTATCTTTCACACAGGCTTTCACACCTTTTTTAATTATTATTCCTTGTGTAAAATGTAAATTTCTACGATCTTTGAAATTTGTTTGTCCCTTAGTGTCCTCTCTGTTTGTCGTAATAATATATCGTTTCGATAGATTTTATTGACTTGCGGACAGGGTTAATTGTATTGTATTTTCTTTAGATTTTAGAATGATGTTCTTAAAACATTTTTTCCCCGTCTTCTTGAAGGTAAGCCATCTGTCAAACGTTGGGTTTTCACAGCGCCAGAGTGCTCTGGTCCTCTCCACGTGTGCGGCAGCTGAGTTAATCACCAAAGTGCTTCTTGCCCTCTTCGGTGACCGTCTTCCGGTCAGCAACGTCTCGATCCTGGCCATACAGGGTATCATCACCAGTGCCTTCACAGTCGGCGTCATGTACATCAACAGCTTCGGCGTCGGCATTGGTATTATACTAGGTAAGGGGTGGAGCGTCCCAGTCACACTAGGCGCGTCTTCATCATCTCGAGATTGCCAAATAGCCCGCTATTTCTGATTTGGGAAATAATCCCGAAGTTACAAATCGCGTCTTCATCAGCTCGAGATTCGAACTCGAAACTTGAAACTCGAAACTTGAAACTCGACCTTGAGAAATTAGCTCGAGACATTTTGCTCAGCGTCGGCGCATAGTGCGAGTCTTCGGTCTGGTGAAAACGCATCGGACAAATAGCTGGATATTTCGCCAAAATTAATAGTGGGATATTTTGCAAACTATCCCAAGATATCTCAGGATGACAATCCCTACCGAATATCCCGCTAATGGCTACTTCAGTCTGATGAAAACGCATATTAGCTGGATAGCGATCGGGATAGTTCAAATAGCTGGATATTTGGCAATCTCGAGATAGTGAAGGCAGGCCTATTGACGGGACCGCCAACACACCAAACAAAACAGCATTACATTATACCCTGACTGAATATCAAGGAATTGGTCGGTTTGGAGTCTGGTTCGGCGGTGTGACTGCGCAAAACCGACTATAAAATAATCCCAATCCGATCACTTCTTGCAATTTGGAGGTATTGTTCACTGCTACCTATAAATATAAAATAATTTCACACCGATTGTGAAAATATCTCTTATTCTTGATGTATAAAGTTTATATCATTTCAACACTCTTAATCAATCTTACCGTCATAGAGATATATTTATCAATAAAGCTCCGAGAGGATAAACGTTATATATATCAAAGAATAAACCATTCATGAGGTAAACTGATTGCGTGTTGGTGATAACTATTTTGGATAGATAACGCGAGAGGTATAACCCAGTTACACTCGTGTGACCAACACCATCGGTGTCTAAAATTAGTCTAAAACTATAACAATTTCAAAGTTGCGACAGAAAATGTTTGGAGGGGGGGGGGGCAGGCGCGGATCCAGGATTTCTTAGGGGAGGGGGCCCAACTTTTTTTTTTTTGCTCCCGAAAATTTGAAAATCGCGCCGGCCGAAAAGTCGCTCAGTGGGGGGGGGGGGGGGGGGGGGGGGGGGGGTACAGAGCACAATTTTTTTTTTTTTTTTTTTTTTTTTTTTTTTTTTGCTCCCGAAAATTTGAAAAACGCGCCGGCCAATTTGCACCCCCCCCCCCCCCCTTGAGCGCCAGGGGGTGGGGGGGGCCAAACCCCCCAAAAAGGTAAAAATCACGTGATTTTACATGATTTTTTTTCTCAAGGGGGGGGGGCCGGGCTCCCCCCCCCCCCCCCTGGATCCGCCACTGGGGGGGGGGGGGGTTGTGAGACACACCACCCCCATTCCTCTCTCTATAGCAACACTCCTGTAATTGTTATTTGCTGCTTCTTATACATGTATCTCTGGTACAGCTTTCAATTTTAAATAGAATGGCGAATAGCCGTTGTTTTTATGTGAAACATGGGCTACCTATATACGAAATTGATAATAGGTTCGATTTCACCCGAAATTACGAGAGGGAAGCTGAAATGCAAACAATGATCACTGCTCGGCTCACTGCCCAGTGAATCAAGATCAATAGGAATCTAGTGAATAGAGGTTTGAGACTGGATTATTTGATTTGTCAAATTATTCCGGACAAAACCAGATCGGGCTGAGTGGGTGTCTGCAGATTTGATAGTAAATATGGTTATAGAAAAGTGGAAGAAAGAATTGTTGGAGAGAGAGAGAGACAGACAGACAATAAAAGAAACCTTTGTTACCGGTGCAGGGCTGCTCCTGCAAAATATGTAAGCAGTGGCGTATCCAGGACTGTCAGAACTATATTAAGAGGGGGTAGTTCTTACGTTAATTCTTCCAATGAACATTATTTCTAGGAAAGTCACCCGGCTTTTTCCGAACGGTTTTTTTTTTTTGGGGGGGGAGGCGGTTGATTAATGATTCCGGACTAAACTCCGATGGGTAGGATCGGGCGTTTGCAGATTTGATTATAGCCTAATAGATAAGAAGATAGAATTTTTTGTGTGTGACTGTTTCATGGCAGCTCCTGTTATGTGTAATTTTGTAGTAAGGAAATATGGAGAAAAAGTATTCCCGATTGTCCCCCCCCCATCAGGAATCCCTACTGCCCTCCTAATCTCCAAAGAGCTGGCGAGGGCCCCGGTATTTCTTATTGAGTTATAACTAATATGTTTCATGCTAAATCATGTTTTACTCCTTCACTTCTTCAGTAAACATGTATAGTCTACCTCCATCGTTAAACCATTGTGAATTAGTGTGTTACAAGGATAGGGTAACAAGGTTCATGTGAAACTGCCTCAGATCAGGGGAGTGTTTCACAAAGACTAAGATCGACTAAGTTGGACTTAACTATGGCAGGCTGTTCTCACCATCATGATCTTTAGGTAACATTCAGTCTTCAATAATGAATTATCAGAAAATGTAAATTCTGTAGATTCGTGACCACGATTTGTAAGTCTCTTGAGAGACATACCAGTAAATGGTGAGAGCAAACAGTGGCATGAACAGCCTGCCACAGTTCAGTCCAACTTTAAGTCAATCTTAGTCTTTGTGAAACACCCCCTGAATGCCAAAATATGAAAATGGGATGATGTATGTGTTCATGCCTTTACGAGTTTTAAAATCATTTCACCGGTACAACTGCAGGCCCGTTTTGTTTTGTTTATTTTGTATAATGCCCAAGGAATCTGGTGAATAGAGGTTTTCAAATGGATTATTTGATTTGTCAAACTACTCCAGACAAAAACCCGATGGGAAATGGATGAATGTTTGCAGATTAGCTAGCAGATTTATTTAGAGAAAAAGGAGAGGCAGAATTGAATTGTAGGGGAGAGGTAGACACACAGTGGTCGGGGGAATAGAATCTGATAGAGAGAGAGAGAGAGAGAGAGAGGGGGGGTGGGAGAGAGAGAGAGAGGCGGAGAGAAAGAGAGGGAAGAAGGGAGAGAGAGGGGAGACTAGGAGGGGGAAGAAGAAGAGAAATGACCAAATAATGAACACATTTGATTGTGTGTTGGGGCAGCTCCTGGATAAAAATTGCCTAACTTGATGGAAATTAAATTGGGGCAATTATACGTCAATGTGGACATTACCAATCGCGATCTCCCTTTACAACAAATTGAGCAAACATTACCCGACATTTATACCGTGATGATAGACCCAGGGTCGTCAAATAAGGATTTCCCTGACGTAAACTAGTGTCCCTTTTGCTATGCAAACACCCGAAAAAAACATCCGAAAATTGTTGAAAATGGGTCTTTTTTCGAGAAAAATACCCCGAAATGCCCCCTAAAAATGGCTAGGGGTTTTCTCCGTCCAATTCAAATCTGAGTATACCCCCGGGATAAATGGCTGCTTTTGTTCAATAGTGAACCCTTTCTCTCGTCCCTTTCCTCAATTTTTGCATTTTTGAGGATTGAAGTTTAATATTGCTAACGATGCCTTCTTCTTCGATTATTGTTTGTTTAGTGTTCCTTGTCTATTGTGACATTTTTATGTTGCTTTTATGTGATTTTTAAAATTGTAACCTTTTGAACTTTGTATGTGGCAGTCTGTGGTCTGTTTTTACAAGTTTTTTTGTCAATAAACCGGAATGAATGAATGAATGTATGTGGATGGATGGATGGATAGATAGATGAATGGATGGATGGACGAATGGGTGGGTGGATAGGCGAATGAATGAAATGAAGGGTTGAATAAGTAAATTAATGATCGGATTGATGCATATACAAATAAATTCATAAATTCATGGATATTTAATCAATGAATTGATATGTTTTGCGCAGGTGTTGGAAGTATGCGGGGTGTCTACCAGGTGGTTCCGTACATGGGCTGTGTGGAGATCATCGGGACAAGGTGGGGTGACGAGGCTCAGACACTTACCCTTTTTGTCCAGGGCTTGGGCTACCTTGTTGGTGCCCTTCCTTCAGGTAAGCTATATACTCATCAGGGCACTTTGACGGGCAAGTCCAAGGTCCTTTGATATCCCTTGTATACGTTACCAAGTAGTGTACAGTTCTGCATGTACATTAACCCTTTGACTACTGAAGTATCTAGTTCCCATAGTTTTATCACAGGAACCACCCGGTTCCAGTAAGCAACGAGTTAATAAAAAAAGTGTCTATTCACTTCATATAATTTTGTTCCGATAATAGCTTTAGTAGGGCTATTAACCTGATGCAATGATCAAATATACTAAAATCCTAGGTGTGGTCTGTGACGTATATACGGTACCAAATAAGTTGGACTTGCTCACCACAGCACACCTAAGGGGTTGATCGGCATACGGGCTGAATATCCAGGAGAGGGGGGGGGGGGGTAGCATCTCTTTATCGAGTAACTTTCCTTCTTTTTTAAATGTGGATACCTTTTCAGTAAAAATATAGATTACAAAATTTGTAGATGCACGAATAAGATGGGCGGTTGCCAGAATAGTGAGAATACTATTAATCTAAACATTATCAGGGGGAGGGGGAGGCCCTACCTCATATGCCTGAGGTCCTTGCTTGTGCATCAGGCACGTAGCCACGGGGGGCACGTGTCCCCCCCCCCCCCTAAAAAAAAAAAAAAAAAAAAAAAAAAAAAAAAAAAAGATCGGTTGAACTTTTTTAGACCCCCTTTTTTTTTTTTTTTTTTTTTTTTTTACCTCGATCGGTCGATTACATGTATGTACCCCCCCCCGCCCCCAACATCAAACTCTGGTTACGTGCTTGTTGTGCATGCAATGTGAACCATGTGAGATGGTGGATGTACACTGTTATCAACTATAACAATTTTTGTTCAATTAGCAACGGGATCTTGGAAAATTAGCAGACGGAAATCGTGTAGAGTTCAACGCAGCTTTTTTCAAAGCGTTGTCGGAAAGCGGTTTGTTCGAGCATAATGTCGTCACTACACAAGGGGACTTGTGAACCCTAGAATGTATAGTTTTCAAACAGTTTTACCTTGTCAAGCACCTGAGATGCGGATGTACCCCCCCCCCCCCCCTCAGGGAAAGGAGGAGGGGGGCACCACCTCTTACGCCTGTGTCCTTGGGGTGGAACTTGATTCAAGACCAAAGGAAATTAAATCAAATGTGGACATTAACATAGCTCCCATTGCTTCCGAACATTGCTTCGAATCATAATTCCGTTCTTATTTCCCACCAAACTTTTCATGATGCAGGTGCAATATTTGACCTCACACAGTCCTACCAAACGTGTCTAGTTATGGTCGCCGTTCTCTTCATCGTGTCGTCGGTGGCGCTGTTCATCATTCAAATCTTCGATCGTTTCCGTGCCAGAAAAGAGAAAGAACTACCTGCAACCACCGACGTAACTTCGATACACTTTGCCTTACAAAATGAGGTTATTAGCGACAGGGTCACTGCTTTATAAAATAGTGAATGGAAAGATTATTGAGATATTTGTGGTGTGAGAGATAGATATAGTGAGAGAGAGAGAGAAGAGAGAGAGAAAATGTATACAAAGTATATATGGACTACCGATCTTTACAATTTTTTTCCGTAGAGATCAGTGGTATGGTCCTTCTTTTTTGTGTGTGAAATGAATCTCTTGCTCAGAATATATGATATATCTTTCTCATTGTTGTCATATTATATTAGTCATGTAGATGGAGACCAGTAGAAAATACCTCATATATTGATAATCAGTGTGACACATATAATGTGAAATACCCATTGTACATGTACATTATTATTGTCTTTCAGTTTATTATTCTATAAATAATTTTTGACGCACAAATTGTGCAATATGGTTTATACTGTACGAGTAAATTGCATTTTACCACTGTGTTGTGATCAAATCTAGTCGGAGGAAGAAAAAGGTTAGAATTGCTACCTCTGAACTTTATTTTTTGTTATATACTTTCATTTTATATAATATTTTTTTTTGTTGCGGTGGTGTTATAGGTTTTGTCAAAAGAACGATCGCCGATGCCAAAAAAAATGATGGTGCAAATTAAAATAATGAGGAACATGTGATTCTGTTCTATCGTTCCCCTAAAAAGTTTGCCAGTAGTTCGTCCATTTTACATGCATTAAATAATGGTGTTTCATGGTAACGCTACCATTTTTCATAGTCATATCAAGAGGTTTTGCATTCATGGATGAAATATGGATTGTGCTGCACTCCACCCAGGTGAAGTAAATGGGGACCTGGTAGGAATTTGTTCCTTGAAACGCAGAGCGCTTGACAGCTGCTGTGCTAAAAGCCAGGGTCATTATGCTACATTATTGTAGAGCGCTTAGAGACTTCTGATAAAGTAAGTGTTATGCGCTATATAAGTAAATTATTATGAATAAATGAAATATGCCGTATGGGTTACGTTGCACACAATCGCCCTTTTACATTTCTTCACATTTGTTCCACTATTTCTGTAGAAAAAAATGGAAAACAAATAAAATAAATGAAGAGCAGATAAGGAATTGAAAATACAGTCCTTTTCGTTGCACTGGATTTAGGCAGTGAATATTTAGATTTTAACAGTTTAAGATTTAAATTCGACTAAGAGTCTTAGATAATCATGCTCTGAAATCATGATCTGTTCGTCTCAGTAAACTACATTCCTAAGTGCTGTATCTCGTGTGGAGTTTCTACTAGGAATAAAAACAAAGCCACTGGTTTCCATTTTGCTGTTTGATATATGAACTTCAGGTAGCCCTCATCGGGTACAACAAGAATGTCTATCTTTTTGGTCAGCGTGCCTTTTTTTCTAGGTTTAAAAAAATGACAATTATGACCGTTGATAAAACTTCAGGTTTTCACAGTGAATAAATAATTTTGTTTAAACATGTATGTCTATCTTTTTGGTCAGCGTGCCTTTTTTTCTAGGTTTAAAAAAATGACAATTATGACCGTTGATAAAACTTCAGGTTTTCACAGTGAATAAATAATTTTGTTTAAACATGTATGTCAAATTCATCGACGCAAGATTTATGTAATTTATGTAAATATGTTTTTAAAGAATGTTTTGAATGTTTGATTAGGCTTTTTGAGAAATCAAAGTCCACAGAAACTTTATTGGTATCTGATTCTGATAGCAATTGTGCATCGGAACTGTAATTTCTGCCAATATTTTGCTACCCAGTGTAAATGATGATCTCGTTCTTTGGGGTTTAAAAATGTGCCCTTTCATTTCATTGACGTAACATTCAAAGCATGGCATTAACTACGAATAGCATTCAAAGATCATAGATTCGTCAACCTCGCTGTTAACCTTTAACACATCTTATAATAACGAGGGCTTAAAGAAAACGACAACGCAATAAACAGCAACGATAGATCCAATTTTTTGAGAGAGGCATGTGAACATTTGAAATCTCATTGTTTTTATATGTATGAATTTTTTAAATATCTACTGCCTTCCATTGTACGATAATATTTGTTTTATATTGTACTTTATATACCTCACTTAAGAAATCCAGCCATCTGATTGGTCGAAATTGCATTCATAAACTACTTCTGTAAAATTCCCAGTAACCATGGTTAAAACAGTTCTAAAATCCCAGTAACCATGGTTACCGGGAAAATAGTTCAGTCTCCATGGTTACCCCATAGGTTTACATGTTAAAAAATGGTGTGAGCGATCGAGGATACCGTACGTGTGCGAAGAATTGGTCGGTAATTTCAATACAATTGAATCTCGATCGATCTTACCGACAATTTTTATCTTGCATTGTTGACATGAAGACGAACAAAACAACATCTGCCGATAGATCTTGATCTAAGTTCGTGCCAATATGCATTGCAAAAGTAAAAGAAGGGCCCGTTTAATGGAGCAGCCGCGAAGCATCCACCACGCGAAGCCGTTTTCAATCCATTTTAATGTATATATTAGAGAAAACTGCTCGGTAAGGTAACAGAGCGCGATGGCCGAGCCGTTTAAGGCGGTGATTTTAGTTACATCACCTTCTGTACGCAAGAGATCAAATCCCATCTTCGGCAAAAGTTTTTTTTATTTTTTATTTATTTTATTTATTTTTTTCGGCATATAAAAGTATTAATGACTGCTTTTATATGTATGAACTTTTCAAATATCTACTGCCTTCCATTGTACGATAATATTTGTTTTATATTGTACTATATTGTAGCCAGGGTATTTTATACGCAATTAGTTGACAATCTAAATTCTAGGTCACATATATTCGATTTAGGCGACCGTTTCTATTGCAATATAGTTGTATATGCTATCACATATATTTATATACTCTTATGTGTACTCACAAAGTCCGAACCTGAGCCTTTTAATGTTATGCACTATAATAAATAAATGCCTGCCTCAATTAGAGGGGAAGTCCCTGATATTAAGTGTCAAAAAGTGAGAGGAACAGGTCAGTGAAAGTTTGATCGAAATGCGATTAAAAATAAGAATGTTACGAATGTTGAAGTTGTAAACTCCTCTCCCATTTGCCCTTTTCTTTAGGGCAAACATAGCAATTTCTAAATGATTTGTACGGAGCTCGCAAAATATGGTTGCCATTTTCTGTATGATTGATTACAACTTCAAAAATGCATACCTTTCTCATTTTAATCTGATTGTGCTCAAACTTTGACTGACCTGTTCCTCTCATTTTCTGCTTCTATTAAATCAACTTTATATCAGGGTGGACTTCACCTTTAACTGTATTTATTTTTTTAAAGAGAAATCAATATTTCATTCCTATAACCTGGATTATTTACGAGGACTTTTCAAGAAAGGAATCGCTCTTTTAAATTTGCGTTTAATCGAAATCACAACCACCCCCCCCCCCCCCCCCCCCCACATCTTGAAATGTACAAAGTGCATCACATAACAGTCAATCTTCTATAATAATAATACGAGAAGGCTCCGCGGGGGGGGGGGGGGCATGACGTCTCCGCCGGCCTTTGTATTCTATTGTTTTTTAATGAGATCGCCGACCGAAGTTGGTGCAGCTATCTCCTCCTGAACCCTCCCCTCGGGGTCGCGGTGACCGGTGCCATCGTCCGTGGGAGAGTCTACTCTGTGGAATTGGCTATACTCCGCGCGAGGTCCTCCTCTGTGTCGACGTCCAGGGCGAAAACAGACGCGATATGCATAATGCAGGACAGAGATACCTCATGCATATTCAACATTACATCCGTATCAAGGAGAGACACGACAGATGACGAGCAACTCACATTATGTTGCGTATGAAATGCTCTATGCAAAGGGCGGGATTACCCCCCGAGTAAGCCCTCTTGCTATAGGGTGTGCTTTGTACGAGCTGCACAAGCCAGAGAGATACACGGGGCTAATTCCCGTCGACGTCCAAACTTAGAGACCTATTTCCATCATGATTGCCGCGATTTTTATATAGTTTTCGTGAATGGAGGTATGAAATCAAAGCTTATTTTGTGATTACTACGGCCATGTATACTGGATTTTGATTATCATTTTCTAAAAGAAAGTTTTCACAAGAAAACCATTGGACTGACAGTTCAGTCGCAAGCTGCCTTCAGTCAACACACATACAGTACACACAGTGCAGCGTAACTCCGGGAAGCTCCAACACCGGCACCCCGCACCGCAGGCGTCCGACGCCTGCGGCGCCGGTGTTCGAGCTTCCTGGACTTACGCTGTAGTGTGTGTGAGTTCAGCTGAGCTTAGATCGAGTCGAAGAGATTTGACACTTTGAAATTGTTATCTGTTGGTTTGCATGATTATTGCCGCGATTTCAATATAGTTTCGTGAAAAGATTTACGAAACCTGAGCTTAGAATTAGTAAAAGTATTACTAATGTCTACGTTTTTAAACGACTGTCTGATTTTCTTGTGAAAATTTTACTTTGAAAAATGATTATCGAAATTCATGGTCAAAAATAATCACAATCTAGGGTCTATTATGTTACAGTTCTTGCATCAAATCAATGCATGAAAACTTAGTTATTGAACTTAAAAAAATGTTGTTTGTTTTTTTTAAATAGGCAATTATGAAGTAGGAAGCCTGAAACCTTAGCCTACTAAACAAATCTCAACAAAGTGTAGGCCTATCCTTTTATGAATTAATGAAAAAGTAGCCCCAGAAAAAAGAGCCCCCGAAAGTTGAAAAAGTAGCCCACGAAAATTGCCCCAAAAATTTGAAATAGAGCCCCCGAAATGAAAAACTTAATTTTTTGCCTGCGCCCCCCCCCCCCCCCCCCCCCCCCCTCTAGAATCTTGCGATTTCCGCGGGTCCTGAGTTGAGTGAATATATAATATAGGCGTGGGGTCCACGGGTTTCAAGGGGCCATAAACCCCCAAAAGCTCGGGGGTTACGTTCTTCAAAGTTTGGGGGGGGGGGTGGGAGAGATCAGATCGCAGCGAGTTGAGTGTTTATGTAATATAGCGTGGGGTCCACAAGTTTCAAGGGGCCATAAACCCCCGAAAGCTCGGGGGTTTTAGGCGTTTAATTAGGGTCAGATGAGCATATTTTTAATACTTTATTTGTGACACTTGCGGGTCACTAATTGGCGTGGGGTCAATACGTAGAGTTGCGTAGTGTTGCGTACTAACTACGCTGGCCTACGTTACTATATGCTGAGGGACGGAAAGGGGTACGCAAGATGAACGAAAACAATTCAACATGTTTAATTTTTTTCGCGTACTTTCGGCGTAGAAACTTGACGCAGAAAGTACGCCTTTTTACGCAACACTACGCTACATGCCCACGCAACAGTATGCTACCCTACGCCTGATCGACAAAGCAGTAAAATCTTTCCACACAGTAAGCAACCGTAAGCAACCATAAGCAAACAACTAGCCTATGCATAACCTACACAGGGACTACAGGGAAGCAACATTTTTCCATTAATACGCAGCCTAATTTCTGCGTAGTCGGTACGCCACACTACGCAACTCTACGCAGTTCCAGTGTTAAAGAGGCTTAAAGAATAACTACCGGTAGAATTGGATGGTTTTTTTTTTTTTTTTTTTAATAAATGGCAAATAAAGTTCTTGGTGGTTTTAATTTAGAGTCTCTATTATGGGCGTCAATCCTTACGTGATACCTATTGTTCAGGGGGATGATAGATCATCCCCCTGAACAATAGGTATTGCGTAAGGATTGACGCCCATGGTCTCTATATTTACACCCCCGCCCCCCTCTAGAATCCCGCGGATTTCCGCGGGTCCTGCTAGTTGTATAATAATACATAACAATGTATTGTATACGAAACATATATGTTAACATTTCTATAAATATATTTATTTGTTTGTAACAATCAACAGGGTATTTCGCCCATTTTGCATGAATGTAATATTTTGTATGCAAAATAATGAATAAAATTTGGACTATATCTTATCAAATTTAAATTCCTTATGTGACTTGTTTTCCTCCTCGTGTTGGGATGGGAGTTTGTAATTACTATCTAGTAAAGTGAGCGAATGATTATTAGAAGGTTGTACAAATAATCAAAGTCAGTATTTTCGCCGTGATATTCTGCTACTGTAAAGCTCAGTCAATGAATGCATTGATAGTCTTCAGATTGAGGAATTATCTAAACAAGGAGGATTACTTTAATATCTAGCAATACAGATAATGAAGTTATTGCAAATGTAGATTTTAGCATAATAATGATTATGATCATGTATGAGATTTATAAGGCGCTGGATCCACTCAAACGCAAATGCTTAAAGGTAAAGACTAGTATTGGAAACGCCCCAATTTCAAAAAATGAAATGGAAGCTCTTATTACCAATCATGTAAAAGAATATGTTTTGACTAATTCATGATGATAACAATTTTGTCGGGAAACCGCCTACTAATTGATATATTTGGGAAATTAGTTTATCTATTGGCCTGTGAGAGATAAACGCACGTGTCGCGCACGTGTGCGTAGTCCCATATACATCTTTCTGTGTACAGTGCTTGTAACTTTACGAAGACTGGACCAAATTTCTTATCATTTTGATGATTCCAGAACCTTGCAGTACACACCAATACTTGTATGCTAGATGATCAACCTTTTCTGATCGATTCCACAATGTTTCTTTCACAATGCAATCGCATGACCAGAACGGGTCTTTATCTTTAAGGCGCACTTGCGTAACAAAACATAAAAAGAGATCATACAAAAGCATCTGCATTATAAACAAAGGAAAAAATTGGAGTAAGAATGAACATACAAAAATGGAATAGCAAATAATTATATGCCAAATTAAACAGGCACCTTTGAAGATTATTTGTATACACTTAAACTGATCTGTACGTGACGTCAAACTGGATATATCCTGGCTATATCATTTTCATGGTGGAGTTATTGTACATCACGTGAGTCGTCCATGACCATGCCCTGCATGGGAATCGTTTCACATAGGATTTTTCAAATTTATTCATGTTTCCAACAAAACATTACAAATTAATTATAAACATTTAAAACAAATTTAAGATATAATTATAAAACTACTCAATATCATACACACTAGTTTTTTGTGGAAACGAATATCGTCGTTTGGTATTGCACCGAGATGGATGGGAATATCCGTTTTGTTATTAGCTTTGTAAGCATTAAGTGTTAAAAATATTAATATTAATTCAGGATTATACTAGAAATAGGATTTTGAGAGAGAAATGCTCTGAAAATCATTCTGTCGCATCTTTGAAAAGTAAAATAAAATTTATTTAGAATTAGTTTTTTCTTATTGTTAGATGCATAGTAGTGGGTTATCATGAATTAGTCACCATTCTGGTGTTTGCCCAATAACAGGTATTGCCAAGCACCGGGATTAGCCTTCAGTTTTATGACCAACAGGCATTATGTAATGCTCTGCATTTTCACTCCATCTCTCCATATATATGGTAAAGTGGTCTTACAAGACTCTCTGAGCAAGGAGATGTAATATATCTTTGCTCTGAAAGACTAGGAGTATTTCTGGATGGAATTTGCTGGGTTTGCTGTGTACGAGACTTGTGCTCCTATAAATGGAATTTCCACCAAGTCCGGTATCAGCGAATTATGACCTTCTGTACCTGGAAAGTGACGACCATCTTTCTTTAAAGCTTGCTCTTCTCCCTGCCCCGGCTCGGACCACGATGGTAATACGATTCATGTACCACCGTTCCCTCAGGGATGGTACAAGGCGAAGTGCAACCTAATAGAAATGATTTTATAGGGTGTAAAAAAATGTCTTCGAAAAAACACATACAAAGCGATAGTAGGGGGATAGTAGGAGTAACACAAAATAAAATCATATTTGTTACTGTTAATAACTTTGCTATGCAGTATCATGAATAATTAAAGACTCTGTAATTTCAGTTGCCATGCACATCGGTTTACTAACATATTCGATCGAATTTATGAATGTTTCTTTCTTGGGGACCTAGTGGCGAGTTATTCCATTAACCTGTTATTGGTGAATAAACTATGATACTTATAATCCAGTCTGCATACATTACTGGTTGCTATGTTGGGCAAACTTTCAAGTTGTCAAGGACATCCTTTCTCTAAACAATATGCGTAAAATTTGTATTTGAATGTGCCATAGTTTTTGGTACAAACAGATCTTGTGGCTTTAGTTTTTCAAATAGAGGGAATCTAACTAATTATTCAGAGTAGTATTTTACCTCCCTGCATGGTCACTGACGGGTGGTTATCTCGTCAAATCGACTTTCACTTAACATAAGAAAAAAGAGGATCATGGGGGACCAACGGGTACCGCTTGGGCATTGTTTGCCATATAGAGGGCGCAAGTAGCTTCAAGTAGTCAGTGCCATTGATTAGAGTTGAGAGTTTGACCAACCCGGTTCGAGTTGGACACAATATGGCGACTACTGCTTTGTTGGGCCATACGCCATCATGTTGTGACCCAGTGAAACCAAGTTGGCCAAACTCTGTGTATAGATGGCTCTGCAAGTAGTGCAGTCCCGCTTTGATATTTAGCAGCTAAACTTAGTTTAGGAGTTATTAAATTAAACTACAGTTATCAAAACTTTTGCCAAATTACAGAGACTCTCACTCGGCTTGGGGAAAAACCACAGGAGTGGCCGAAAAATTGCCAAATTTGAAGCTTGGTAGAAGCTAAAGATAATTATGTGAAAACACACAATTTTAGCAATATCTAATTCAACTTCAACCATAGTCGTTTTAGTACTACTTTTTACCAGTGGTTATACGAGCTCAAATTAAAAGGGAATCCAACCTTAATAGGAAACAAATCTTAGAGAAAGCAAAAAAACCAAAGGAGCAGACCGATGACAGTTCGAAGAAAAAAATCGGACAGAAAATAAGAAGTTATTGATATTCCCTTTCCTTCTCTTCAGTCGTCATTTTTGTTTGCTCTATCAAACTCTGTATTCATTGTAACATTCCCCTCCACTACAAGACACCCTGTGTTCATACCAAAGAAATCTTTTCTTACCGCTTATTGCTAACACGTCATCTAATTGAGATCGGAGTATATCAAGCACATCCTTGACGCCTTCTGCACCCTGCAGGTTAAATGCAAAGACAAAATGTGAACATTAATTTTTAAATGGTCTTATTCACATAATTATCCACATAAGTGGTAGTGGTAGTGGTCTTCCAGAGCACCCTGTAATTGTTATCATTACCCCATCAGGTACAGGGTACACATTAGATATACCTGGTTCGAGAGGGACAAGTGTGGCGAAAACACCTATTCCAAGCATCGAGCATGGATAAAACAATAGAAAAAGAAATAACCATGAGAAACGGTCATCTTTGTGATTTTTAAAAATCCGCCCTTTCCCTTTTAAAATCTTGGGATGGCCGACAGGATTCCCGCTGGGCAATACCGGAAAAGCCTATTACTCTTCTCTTTTTTTGCTCCAGACCTTCACAACCCTCCCCCCCCCCCCTCCCCCACACACTAAAAAAAAAACTGAGGCGGCCTGTTCTCCAATCCTTCTGGCCTATGGTAAAGTGAGGAGTATGCTTCGACAATCCTGGATCCGCCCCTATATTGTCTGTTTTACTTGATTCGTCATTCCGTTTACCACCATATCCACCCCTGGGGGTGTTTCACAAAGATCCTAAGTCTAACTTAACTCTAAGTTGGACTTACAAATTACAAAAATATTGGCATAAAATGTTGATTCAAACCATTTATATTTTGAATTATCAAGGATATTTCATGTTCTTGATGTGGAATATATAAAAAGTCTGAAATACTTGATTTTTCGCTTATGAATATATTTCATTTTAAGGCTACAAATGGCTCTTCATAATTTTTAAGTCCAACTTACGAGTTAAGTTCAACTTAGAATCTTTGTGAAACACCCCCTAGAATCTCTAAGTTGAACTTAACTCTAAGTTGGACTTAAATATTATGGAGAGCCATTTGTAGCCTTAAAATCAAATAAATTCAAAAGCAAAAGCTCAAGTATTTCAGACTTTTCATAAATTCCACATCAAAACCATGAAATTTCCCATGATAATAGAAAATATGAATGATTTGAATCGATATTGTATGCCTTTTAAAATAATTTTTACAAAATATTTAAAAAAATGCTAATTGCTTTCCATAATTTTTAAGTCCAACTTAGAGATAAGTTCAACTATTTGTGAAACGCCCCCAGGTCTTTTGTACCATTCACAAATTATCTCTGTTTTTTCTTACCTGGCAAGCCAACCCCCACAAGATAGGCCTTCCAACAAACACGGCCCGTGCCCCCAGCCCAAGAGCCTTGAAGACATCCGTTCCAGTCCTTACACCGCCGTCCATGTAGACTTCGATATCTCGACCACGGACAGCGTCCACCACTTCAGTCAGGGCATCGATCTGTTGGTTCATCAAAGTATAATAATAATAATCTATAACAATAATATTAATTTTGTTTACCGAGGGAGGTCTCATCCGCATCGATACTGTTCTTCCTGACAGCCCTGCAATTGTAATTCCCCAAACAACTACCGGATATACATTTACACCTGGGTGAAAAGTGGCAAATGTGGATTAATGCCTTGCCAAAAGACGCTACTTCCAGGTTGGGATTCGAACCCTCGACCCTTACATTTCATTTGTTTACCCTATTGCCATTATCCCTCGATACGCCACTGAGTAGAAAGGCAAGTCCAAGATATTTTATCCCATACTTATCTTACAATATCTCGGATTTCAATAAAATCTGATGACTGTATGAAGCTAATAGCACTGCGACAACATGCAGCTTGGATCTAACTCATACGATATTTTATTCCCAATTTAAAATCACAATTCCAAATAAAATTCAAAAATACTTGGTCACAAATAGGACATTACCTTGCACTTGCCTAAACATTTGAATTAGGAGAATTCGGGAAGGTGGTTCGGATTTAGAAAATAAGAAAACAATTACCGGAGCTGGAGCGCCATCCAGTTGTCTTCCTCCATGAGCTGATACTAGTATCCCATCAACCCCTGCGTGTGCAGCAGCTTTTGCAGATTCACCTTATTTATGAGATTGAAATGAAAGTTTCCTCTTGTTACTATAATTTCTCAAATAAAAAAATATTCATTCGTTAACATTCTTTTTATGAACCAAGAGTATGAAAAGTTTGGAAAGTGTAAAAGCTTCTTTTGGTCTATATATAAAGTTTAGAAGTTTGGATTACCACTTATCTGTTACGAATAAGCTTTCACCACCCAATACGGTATTTTGTGATCAACACAAACATGTTTCAAAGTGTTTCCTGGAAAACTGATGTGCCATTACAATATCGATTTTTAGTTGTCAAAAATATTTTTTGAAAGTAGTAAGACATAGATAAATCCCAATCAGACCGCTCAGTACCCTTTAAACATGAGACCAGTGGCTTCTCGAGGTCTCTTGATCCCGCGTGCTTTCAAAGATAACGTAGAGTTGTGGTCATGACATGTGAAAGCATCTTTGAGGTTATGGAATCATAAAAACGATAGGAAAGTGATTCAATCTTGAAATTAATATTCGCAAGTACTACACACCAAATGTGTATAAGGGACTACACAAACATGTACAAAAGTTTGGTTCAAAATATCCCGCTATTTCTAGTCATATTTTAACTAAAGAATTTTATACCAGAGCAATCCTTTCAGGGACTTTTTTCGTCTATGGCATTTACAAATAAAAGGTGCTGGTAAATCTTGCCATTTTTTATAAATTTCTCGCGAGGAGAGCGTTGCCAAAAGTTGCGCAGGGTACTCCTGACGTCATGTTTTATACTAACTTTGTAGAGAAGTTTGATTGGTTGAAGAAGAAAAAAAATTGCCGCCAGCCGGTGTCATAGGCGATTTGTTCCGTGCAGGCGATCGGTTCCTCCGGAACCGATCGCCTGGATATGTACCCGCCGATTTGTTCCGGATTCGTAGATTCGTTCCGCTAGTCACAGGCGATCGGTTCCGGCCAGGCGATTCATTCCGTGGAACCAATCGGCGGGATATTTAGCCGCCGATCCGTTCCGAATCTCATCGGAGAGCGTGCGTGCTCACGTATTATTGAATACACGCCATGGTACACCCCTAAAGCAAAATGAACTATTCTGGTCGGCCTTTGCAACCAATCAAACTTCTCCAAATTAGCTACACCAACGATTGCCAATTTGAGAACTTTGTATAGAAATGCAGATTCCCGTTGTTCAAATATGTTGATAATTGCGGCCAATGATTGACCACAAACAGTAACTATAGACAGCGCAGTCGCGAAGCGACGGGGACTGGGTGGTCTAGCAAAAAGGGCAGTTGTCGCCATAGGCTTAGTTTGCCTGTAAAAGCAGATGTCGGGGTGTTTTCTAATCAGGCCTTCTAATTTGGTTTGAATGCTGCTTTATATGATGTCGTGTTACGTCAACCACCTATTACCGGGCCAGATCAGCATGCTGTGTCGCAATATATCGTGCCGAGTATGCACGTGCGTGCATGCATATGATATACATGTACTCTATGCGCATAATATACTAGTCAGTAGGTTATTTATTTATTTATTTTTCGTACCGCGCGCGGGTAATTCCGTACGAGGTTATAAACCTTATTATTAAGTAATATTTCAAAAAAAATAATATTGGTCTTCATTCCAACAATAAATACAAAAGTATCAAGATAAAGCTAAAATTTATTTTTACCATGTTTATTCGACACAAGTAATAAAAATATACGCGATTATATAAGCAGAAACGTTCGGCCAATATCGGATAAGAACGGCGGCTTTCGAACGTATCTGCGAACGAGTCGATCCAGTAGATTTGTTCCGAGGAACCCGGAACAAATCGCCTACCACACCGGCACAAAGAACATGATTTGTGCCGCGGCCGTTTGTTTTAACCTCCTTAATATTGCCATTCATTTATACCCCTCCAACAACAACAACAAGCACACAAACACCGCATCAACGTTTTGCGGCGAATTACCGCGCCACATTCGAACGGGTCTTAAAGCCCAATTGCACTACTACTCATAGCTACTTGCGCCCTCTATATAGCAAACAATGCCTAACTGGTGACCATTGGTCCCCCATGGTCCCCTTTTCTTAATTGAGAGCTGATTTGATGAGATAACCACCTGTAAGTGACCACGCAGGGCGGTCCAATCATGGACCTACTACGTAATAGGTCTATGGTCTAATTCCTCCTGGCCAAACTAGTCCAGACAGGCTTTAAGGGTCACAGTGGACGGAGTCGCCACAATAGAATGTGTGATCATTGAGGCATGTGACTAATAAACCATTTACACTGAGCATCAACCATCATACCTACATGTCAGTATCCCCTTGCAAACAATTGGTAGAGAGGTTTGGCTTTTCATCCACCTGATGTAGTCCCAAGTAGCGGTAGGATTATATTGCATTTCTGTCATATAATTGACGAGTTTCAAGTCGCCCTCTGCTGTGGCTGCACGTGACGATGAGATGTCTGCTTCAAATACCGCCAATCTGTGGGGGGGAGGGGTGGAGAGATAAAACTGATAATGGTGATGATGATAGTTAGAAAAATGATGATAATGATGCAATGATATTAATCAGTGGCGGATCCAGGGGGGGGGGGCCGAAACGGCCGCGGCCCCCCCTATTGGCGGCGCAAAAAAAAAGGAAGAAAAAAAGAGGAAGAAAAGAAGAGAAAAAAAGAAAGGAGAAGAGGAGAAAAAAAAGGAGAAGAGAAAAGAAAGGAGAAGAGAAAGGAAAAAAGAAGAGAAAGAAAATAGAAGAGAAAAGATAAATAAAAAGCCCCCCCCCCCCCTCCCTCCCTCCAACTCCGGGTCGGAGGGACCGAATTTGTGTTCCCTAAATTTCCGATAAAGAGTAACTTTTCACGAAACAAAGTCCGGCCCGCAATACACAAAAATCCGGCCCGTACTGACTTTACACACCGGAGACAGAGGGGTGCTTTCAAAGAGAGGAACATACATGTGCGTACCCTAGATAACACTGAAAGGGTGAGGGGGGGGTGGGGAAAAGAAAAGTCGGTGAGAAAGGGGGAAAGGCAAGGAAATGGCGCTAAGTGACAGTAACGACAAATATGGGAAAACTGTAATCGGGAGATTAGGGGACATTCCAGAAGGCTCATTGGCAAACGTTATTGAATAGAGGGGGGCCGGGCCGGCCGCATAAAATCTCGAGCCGCGGATTCAAAGTTAAACGTTAAGAACTGCCCCTGCGGTCATCACTCTTTAGTGAGAAATTTGAAAAGGGCACAATATTTTGGATGTCTTTTAAATAGAAGTTATATACTCAACAGTCAAATTTTAAATTAACGGTAGGGCCGCTTGACAACTCTTATTTTGCCCTTCATTTGGATTCAGCTCGTATCGACTCGCTTGTGATTGTATTAGAACTCATGTTGGTAGTAATCATGGACAGGGGCGGCGATCCTGGGCCCGATATGGGGACAAGTCTCCCAGGAAAATTTAGAAATAAAGCTAGAAATAAATATAGCGGAAAGAACGTACATATCGGGCTTAGGGATTTTTTAGAATGCATAATTTCAGCATTCAACATTGCAAAATCTCGTTTGGTCGCTACGCCCGGCCCCGGCCCTCGCCCGATAACACAAAATTATGACACTCCCGGTCGTGATTTATCCATGGTAGGTGTAATATAGAACGGTACAACGAATCGTCTTCTTTCTGCAATAACTTAATGAAATGTCAAAGCTTCCGCGCATCGCTCGGGAGGGGGGCAACTGAATTCAGACAAGGATTGGGAGTCGAGAATGGTAAAACGAATCATCTTCTTTCTCTAATAATTTAATGAAACGTCAACGTTTCCGCGCTTCGCGCGGGAGGAGGGGGGGGGGGCGGGAACTCAATTCAGACAATGATTAAGAGTCGAGAATGGTACAAAGAATCGTCTCCTTTCCTTATAATTTAATGTAACGTCAAAGCTTCCGCGCTTCGCGCGGGAGGGGGGAGGGGGCGGGAACTCAATTCAGACAAGGATTAAGAGTCGTGAACGGTACAACGAATCGTCTTCTCTCTCTAATAATTTAATGAAACGTCAAAGCCTCCGCGCTTCGCGCGGGAGGAGGAGGGGGGGGGGGAACTCAATTCAGACAAGGATAAAGAGTCGATGACGGTACAACGAATCATCTTCTTTCTCTAATAATTTAATGAAACGTCAACGTTTTCGCGCTTCGCGTTGGAGGGGGAAAACTGAATTCAAAGAAGGATTAAGAGACGAGAATGGTAAAACGATTCGTCTTCTCCCTCTAATAATTTAATGAACCGTCAAAGCTTACGCGCATCACACGGGCAAGGGAAAACTTAATTCAGACAAGGAAGAGTCGAGAATGGTACAAAGAATCGTCCCCTTTTCCTTATCATTTAATTAAACGTCAAAGCTTCCGCGCTACGCGCGGGAGGGGGGACGGGAACTCAATTCAGACAAGGATTAAGAGTCGAGAATGGTACAAAGAATCGTCTCCTTTTCCATATAATTTAATTAAACGTCAAAGCTTCAGCGCTACGCGCTGGAGGAGGGGGGGGGGACGGGAACTTAATTCAGACAAGGATTAAGAGTCGAGAATGGTACAAAGAATCGTCCCTTTTCCTTATCATTTAATTAAACGTCAAAGCTTCCGCGCTACGCGCGGGAGGGGGGGACGGGAACTCAATTCAGACAAGGATTAAGAGTCGAGAATGGTACAAAGAATCGTCTCCTTTTCCATATAATTTAATTAAACGTCAAAGCTTCAGCGCTACGCGCTGGAGGAGGGGGGGGGGGGGGGGGGGACGGGAACTTAATTCAGACAAGGATTAAGAGTCGAGAATGGTACAAAGAATCGTCTCCTTTTCCTTATAATTTAATTAGACGTCAAAGCTTCCGCGCTACTCGCGGGAGGGGGGGGACGGGAACTCAATTCAGACAAGGATTAAGAGTCGAGAATGGTACAAAGAATCGTCCCCTTTTCCTTATAATTTAATTAGACGTCAAAGCTTCCGCGCTACGCGCGGGAGGGGGGGGGGACGGGAACTCAATTCAGACAAGGATTAAGAGTCGAGAATGGTACAAAGAATCGTCTCCTTTTCCATATAATTTAATTAAACGTCAAAGCTTCAGCGCTACGCGCTGGAGGAGGGGGGGGGGGGACGGGAACTTAATTCAGACAAGGATTAAGAGTCGAGAATGGTACAAAGAATCGTCCCCTTTTCCTTATCATTTAATTAAACGTCAAAGCTTCCGCGCTACGCGCGGGAGGGGGGACGGGAACTCAATTCAGACAAGGATTAAGAGTCGAGAATGGTACAAAGAATCGTCTCCTTTTCCATATAATTTAATTAAACGTCAAAGCTTCAGCGCTACGCGCTGGAGGAGGGGGGGGGGGACGGGAACTTAATTCAGACAAGGATTAAGAGTCGAGAATGGTACAAAGAATCGTCTCCTTTTCCATATAATTTAATTAAACGTCAAAGCTTCAGCGCTACGCGCTGGAGGAGGGGGGGGGACGGGAACTTAATGCGGACAAGGATTAAGAGTCGAGAATGGTACAAAGAATCGTATCCTTTTCCTTATAATTAATTAAACGTCAAAGCTTCAGCGCTACGCGTGGGAGGGGGGGACGGGAACTTAATTCAGACAAGGATTAAGAGTCGATGACGGTACAACGAATCATCTTCTTTCTCTAATAATTTCATTAAACTATAAAAGGCCAAAGCTTCCGTGCTTCGCGCGGGAGGGGGGGGGGGGTGAATTCAGTCAAGTAATAAGAGTCGAGAATGGTACAACAAATCGTCTTCTTTCTCTAATAATTTAATGAAACGTTAAGCTTCTGCGCTTTGCGCGGGAGGGGGTAAACTGAATTCAGAGAAGGATTGAGAGTCGAGAATGGAACAACGAATCATCTCCTTTCTCTAATAATTTCATTAAACTATAACATGTCAAAGCTTTCAGAGAAGGATTAAGAGTCGAGAATGGTACAACAAATCGTCTTCTTTCTCTAATAATTAATGAAAGGTCAAAGCTTCCGCGCTTCGCGCGTCATTGGGGGGGGGGGGGGGGGGAGGGGGTTAGCGAGCTACCCTCATATGATTTTTTGACATCTTTTCTCGTTTATTTTGGTTATAAATAACACTTTCACAAAATATTTTGCTCAAATTGTTGCTCGCTCGCTTCGCTCACTGGCCGAATTGTGAAACCAGAAAGTTACTTTTCGGATAAGAGGCTATAGCCCCCCCCCCCCCGATTAAAATGTCAAAAATTGTAATGGTATGGTGCTTCTAATAAGACCTTGAAAAAAACGGTCGGCGCAATTTTCAAAATTCCGGCCCCCCCTATTGGAAAATCCTGGATCCGCGCCTGTTAATAATAGTAATAATTATACTAATGATAACAAGAATGTTCAAAGAGCCCGGAAATTATTATCCTGCAAGATAAGTTCAAGTATACGGAATATTGTAAGTTACTTGTGTATCAATGGCAATCTAATTATTTCTTGAAACTTCATTTAAACGACCAAACCGATTCCATACCTACTCTAGACCGACACATTTTTGGCCATTCGAGGCATTGTAAAATTCTTTTCGTCGTGTTGTCCATATAAGGTGTCTGATCTATTGGTGTGGCTGGGGTATAACTCGGATCATAGGAAGAAAGGAACTTTAATCATGATGTGAATGTACGTAGATATAAATCATTGGTTTATTTCTGCAAATTATATTTAGTTTAAAGAGTAGGTGGAGTTCTGGGGAGAGGTGAAAAATAATTTGTGAGCTTTATCATTGTTATTATGCAAGTGTGGAAGAACATGGATAAATGATCCCTAAAAAGCATGGCTTTTCAAATGCCTTCATATTCTAAATATGACAAGTTACATCTTAAAAATGAGGCCCAATTTTTTATGCCACATGTTTGTGTACATCTGTTTGTTTACATCTTTCTGTGTACAGTGCTTGTTACTATATAATTTTGTTATCATTTTGATGACTCCATAACCTTGCAGTAAACACAACAGTACTAATATGTTACATGACCAACGATTCCACACCATTTCTTTTACAATGCAATCGCATGACCGGAACTCAGCTTTATATTTAACTCGATCACGGGAGTAAGATTACGTTAGCAAAAGGAAAATTAGACCCTAGACTTACTTCCTTTGTTAAATCCGATTTCCCTTTTTTCTACAAAATGATAAAGCCCAGCTTTGGGTTGAGATTTTGGAAGAAAAAGGTCTTTGCGTCTATTATTGGAAAGCTGAAAAGAAGTCATCCTAGATACTTCTACTTACCGGAAGTCTGGGTTGTTTAAGATGTGAGGTTCGTTAAATATTTCGACCATTCGTCTGTCCAGTCCTTGTGAGGGGGAGTCCACTGTAACGACCAGGGCTTTGAACCCTAGACTCTCAGCTCGTCGAATGACTGTCAAAGTGAGTTGACGATCGGTGAATGGATACATTTGCATCCAGCGATGACCGTTGGGAGCTGCAGCTGCAACGTCTGCCATTGGAAAGCACGAATCGGCGGACAGCACCATCAACGTTTCCGCAGCTTCTGCACCTGCTGGTGCAAGCTATACGTTAAACTCGATACACAACGAGAGTGTATTTAAAGGTATATATGGGAGGTAGCCCCCCCCCCCCCCCCAAAAAAAAAAAAAAAAAAAAAAATCCAGCCAAGGAAGAAAATAACAAGTATATTTACACTTAAATCATTACAACTATCACTCTGAAATAGAACAATGTAACTATCAGAACGACCCTCACACTTTTGATATCCCTTACACATAATTACAAAACTGCTTACCTTTGGATGTTTCTTTTGTGGCATCTGGGTGTGCAAACCTGTGAACGGCTGTAGGTGCGATGCATATAGGATACTTTAGGGGCTGCCCAAGGACAGTGGTTGCTAAACTCCGCTTTGAAACATCCTGCAGTACCTGACTTCTGATTCGGTACCTTCATCAGAAAAAATCATGAAGCATGTAGGCATATTGTTTAACAGAATTACTCTTCATTTTTAACTCATAAGTAATTACCACTGGTTGGTTGGTTTGTTTGTTTTACCTGACTGCGTGTAAGTGAGCAACCAGGGGCCGATGGCTTAAAGTCCTCTCCGAGGGATTAATGGGCACAAGCGCATCGACTTGATTTCGAACCCGGGACCTCCCCGTTTCAAGACCACTGCTCTACCACTGAGCCCTCTCGCCTCCTTCTTGTTAACATAAGTGAATACCGCGGACATCGGTCTTATTACATTTCTTCTATAATCCCCTGATCGTTGTCTAGTGAGGAAAAAAATGAAATTAGGAAATTTTAAGTTAATTTGTGTTTATCAGTATTGGACACAGAACAAAATTAAGTCTGCATCAGCTCTTGTGGAAATAAAAGGCATCATTACTTGGTAGAACCTGCGTAAGTCTTGTTGAGACGGAGGCAAGTTACCCTTAATCTTAATCGTGGCAAGTTGGTCCGAGTAAGAGCGTGTGGACAACTATTGGTGTAAGTAAAAATATACATGACTGCTGCAGGGATTAACCATGGACCTACTATTAACTTACGCCGACTAGCAAAACTCCGTCTGAACAAGACTGATGAAGCGTGAGGTGCAATGTACTATGGTATCGTTCAGTTCTGAATTCTCGCTATCGCCAATATCCCCAAATGATGTAAATTGCACGTCCCGATTTCAATGCTTGGAGCCTTACAGATAAAGATGCTAAAGGGGGCTAAAGGTCACTTGCACCAAGTGGTAAAACCATTTTGTAGAAATGCTATTCATGATATAGGTGTGTAATCATTGTATTCATTTGTGCACCAGTTACCAGTGCTACGTTCGTTCCCTATCGCAAAGGTTGAAGCTTTCCTTTCAAGATGGAAAGAAATAGTACACTAAAATGCAAAAGATCTTTAATGTTTAAAATGTCTGTTCATATTGCGGTCATTTGTAACATGTGCGGAGTATGACCTAGCCTATATCTTCTATGCCTTGATTTACCAGCACATTGAAAACCTTCATTAACATTTTATAATCATTATAAGAAGTAATGACGTAAAAGTTATTTCAAAGACATGTCACATCCTTACATTTTACAGTGTACAAACCTCCGTACGACAGTCGTTTCAACATTTTAAGTTATCAGTCATATGTATTTGAGATCCTTGGAGGTTTTAGAATCGAATAAGGGATGTGATGGCCTATCCTCGAGATAAAATCAATTAGATTGTTTTCATCTCCTAGCTGGTAAGTGATAATGGCATAACTACGATCATCATGAATACGAATAATGTTTGTAATTTATCGACATTATCATTATTATGTCAAATTAAAATTTATAAAGGGGGTATGCATTACGTTAGCTCGAATATCCTGGAAGGAATTTATTCCTTGAAACGCAGCGCGCGTAACAGCTGCACTGCTAAAGCCAGGGTAATTATGCTGCATTATTGTAGAGCGCTTAGAGACTTCTGATAAAGTAAGTGCTGTAGGCGCTATATAAGCATGGATAATTATTATTATTTATCCTCATGGAATTGACTTTTATGTTCGAGAGCAAGTCCAGGCTTTTTTGTCCAATACGTTACCAACCCCCTGATCACAAAGTCGTGGGAGATTTGTGCATGTTTTATAACCGTTTTAAACTTGCAAGGCCGGCTAGACATTCGATGGGACAAGTTATCAAGTATTATTATTTTGATGTCAATTTATGTTCACAATATTATTCCATTTGGTAACGTATGGGGCAAGTGACCAAATACCTTGCACGTTCCCTCAAAGGTAAATTGCTGTTTGGTCTACCTTCCATATGGTCTAATATTAAATTAGTCTACTGCCCATTTTGACTACTATTCATTTAGTCTAATTCCCTATTTGTCTAATGCTCATTCTAGTAAACATTTGATGATTATATTATTTATGATTAAATGATTATTACACTGTTATTGATAGCTGACCGAATGGGCATTTACAATGTAAATGCAAACTGGGAATTAGACCAACTGGACATTAGACTAAATGAGCAATAGACCAAATGGGTAGTAAACTTATTGGAGATTAGGCCAAATGAATATTAGCCTAAATGGTCATTAGACCAAATGATAAGTATATGAAATGATTACTAGACCATGTGAATAGTGAGGAGGGGCTGGGTGTAGACCATATGGCAATAAACCCCAGGTTTAGGCAGGCGACACAGAATTTAGTATCCATAAAATAGTAGAGAATCGAAATTACCTTGAAAATGCATTGGTACTGTCCTGGAGGCACCATCGTCGTTCTCTTCCGTAGTCGTAATATTCCCATGCGCTGCTCGATAGAATCTCTCGAGCTCGCCTCTCGTAATCAGCCACACTGTATAGCCCCATCGTGAAATAACTAATTAATTATTCAGGTGAGAATTATTTTACACACCACGTGAAACATTTGTATTATCTGTCAAACCGTAGATAATGGAAACTATTTAGCACACAGAAATCATACGTTCTGCCTTGTCTTCACTCCTTGGTTTTAAGATGTTCGATTGGGTTAAATGCACTAGAACATATTGAGCTCTTAATCCTACACTGTACTTTTGTTATATATTTAAGGTTAGTGTGACTTAAGTCAGCGTACGAGGCAATCGTTTGGAATTTGGACTCTTCTTTCCTATTTCCGCTGTCCACAGCGAAATATCATTACGCTTCACCAAACATCTGGGCCACCCCTGTGCTCTACTAGATTTCAAAAGATACTGAAAGAAAAACACCATTTATAAAAGTAGTAACAATAGGGTTGTGCACAAAAGTCGTGTATCATTGGACCCTTGACACGACAATATTGGTACGTAATACAAAAACAGGAGAACACAGCCCCTGAATAATCGCAGTTGTGTGAAATCACCACTTTTGCTCTGATACATGTTTTGACCTAAACCAGTAAATATGTTTTTCTCCAGTGTCAATGCTTTGAGGGTGTTCGTAAACAATTGTGACATGAGGTACAAACCGGTGCAATTATATGATTAAGAATTGACTGTTATTTTATGAGACACGACGGTATGAACGGATTTTACACATCTTTTACAGATTGTTATATTTCAAGATTTGGGGTTAATTTTCCTACAATCTGGTATTTTTTCGTTACCTCACCGCTTACAGGAAATGTGTTTGTGTGTGTGTGTGTCATTGGACTTTTACACACGTGTATCAATAAGATATGATTATTTACGTCTGGGGACCTTTAACATCACCATCCGATAGACGTGACTCAGTTTCGAACGGGGTCAGTCTCCTGAGCTAGTTTGTAGGCGTAGACAGAAAGGTGACCAAGTGAACGTGCCGCTTGACCAACTCACCAATGATGACCATATTGATATTATATTGATATTATATGGCAGTATAGTGTCCTTTTTACAGAAAGCTGGCGTTTAAGTGTATGCAAATTAGCACTACATTTGACAACGTGTGAATTTGAACCTGAACGTCATCCCAGCCATGACAAACTGTGGGTCAAAATTAAACATTTGAGCTTGTAAGCGGCTAAAAAAAAAGACATAGAATATCCACTCAAAACAGTTTTCACCAACGATAAAGAGACTTTATTATGGTGCAGTAATGAAGATTACAAAACGAGTTAATATAGTACCTATTCAAACCAATAGATCGTTTACATAACATGATAACATAGTACAAATACGTAACAACATCTAATCTTGTCATAAGCCTGCATTCTATGAAACATAATTATCTATTATTATTGTGTGGTAATTTGCTATAGATGTACATAATGATGAAGCTCATAGAGATTTTCTTTTGAAAGGTATACGTCCATGCCTTAAAAGTGTATGGAATACGTCAAATGACATCGATGATAGTCTTATTGTGAAATGCTAAAACCTGATATTATCGAAAAGATTACGAATGTTCAAATGATGTAAATTGATGTAATTCAGTTATTTGCTATCAAAATAGAATTCATATGTCAAGTGACCCATATTTCCAAGGTAATACGATGGGCTTGCATTCGGTATAGTTGAAACCAATCGCATATGGAATTTAAGATCAATCTATCCTACCAACTGGTTTCAACCTTCATAACCGACAGGAGACTTCCCTATTCAACTTGATAAAAAGAGATGTTAATGTATATGATGATCTAGCACAAGAGCTGGCCTCGAAAATAAAAATGATCGCAAAAAAATTGATATATTTGCTGGTGAATTAACGGTCATTAGTGAAGGAATAGATGGCTAAATGAGGAAATTAATGGCGGTGTCAGCGTATTTGTGAGGAACAGGGAATGAAAGAAGGAGGTGATTTGAATGTTGTGCAGAGTCAAACTTGGAGATTGGGAACACATGGTTAAAAAACAAGTGAAAGGAAAGCTATCATTCTGGCGGTGTTGCATCAAAGATTGAATTTTGCATCTTGCTCGATAAGCGGTGGTGTAAGCAAATGCAAAATGTGAAGGTATAATCCCATGTGAGCCCAGTTTAGTGGTGATAGATATGAAAAGCATTATTGTAAGGAGGAAGAAATTAAGTGCGAGTGAGAAAGTTGAAAATGAAGAAGGTGAAAGATACCGCATAGAGAGGATGAAAGGTCGCTGGGACAGCAGGCCAGGAGAGGATTGGTGGTTGACGTACAAAGAATGCGCTCTCCAAGCAACAGAAGACATCAGTGGAGCCAGTAATGGCAATGCAAGACACGGAGAAGCATAGTGTACATCAAGGATTAGTCTTGTCTCCACTGCTGTTCGCTACTGTGGTCGATGTTTGATCAGAATCGGTAAAGAAATATGTGTTGTTTTGGATCCTGTTGAAACATGCAGTTGACTTAGTTTTGATGGCTGAAACAATGCAACAGGTGGAGAGGAATTTCACCAACTGGAAGAATGCATTAATTTGAGTGCAAGATCCTGAATATCAACATGGGAAAGACAAAGGCGATGGAATCAAGCGGTGGAACAACATAGCGATGAGGAACTTTATCAGATGCGTGGCATGTCGAAAGTGGGTTCATGCGAGATGTGCAGAATGGCTGAGAGTTTTGAGTGCAAGATATGCAGGTAACGAGAAGTGGATTGAGAATTGAGATAGATTTGTCCTTTGTTGAGAAGGGAAGAAGGTGAACTTGTGAAAAGAGCATGCCATCTGACCGAAAATGTCATGGAAAAAATGAGAAGAAAGAAAGAATTAATGTTTAGTGTAAATGAAGAGGATACTCGAGACAAAAGAAGTGGGTGGAGGAAATGTCATCATGGCGCAAAAGCTAGTACCCCTCGTAGGAGGGTAAATGCTGACTTTAATAAATGATGATAATGATGATTGTGATGATGATGATGATGATGATGATGACACATTTACCAGATCAGCGAACAAGATAAATAGCATGTTAGACAAGGATAACCCAGTTGACCTACATCCCATGAGACCAACAGACCGCAAGACCTCAGATGTCGGTCTCGTTAACCCTCCCCAAAAATGTCCAAAAAGGGTCTGCGAGACCGACATCGCTTGTCTCGTGCGTTTTGGTCTTGCGTACCATTCAGTATTTTGTTTTGCTGTGATTTTTAATCGATTCCATAATTACATCAATTATATTCCACTTGAATATGGGAAGTAAATGAATTCAAAAGCACTGATGCTTTAGTAAATTAATACCTTAATACATGATGAAATTTAATAACGATAGTAATAACATTCAATAATAAAGGCAATGTCAAAAAAAAATATAATTGACATATTTCAATACATAAAATGAGGGGTTAAAACAAATATAGAATAAAATCAATCACGAAATATATAGATTACAAAAAGTTCAGCACATTCAACTCGACAGTGTGCTGTCTCCGATACAGGGTAGTATGCAGTTGTGATCACCAAGACCAGACCTTTGCACACGTGTGCTGACGAAGGTTCCAAAGGGTGTGGGTGTCAACAAAACCCTTCTAGCGTTAGATGATTGCCTGGATATCTGATCCCTGCCTATTTCGATCTGTTCCTATAATAAATACGTCATACGAACGATGAATAAGAAGAACTTGAGGCTGGATCAAAATGGAAAACAGGCAAGTCACACCAAAGGTTAGCTAAGCTAAACTTCGGTCTCGTCACTTTGTGAATCTTCCACCTAGCGTGCTAGATTATCCAAGAGACCGAAACCCCCGATCTGATGAAATGTTTGACAAGTTGTTACAGGGTTCATGCATGGATCTACTACAGTAGTAGGTCCATGGTTCATGAAGCCTAAACCTGTGATCTTGTTAACCATTGGTCAGCTGGATAGTTCGTGTTCAAACAGGAAAGACCGTTCAGTGGGAGTCTAAACACGATAGACCCATGGAATTATTACGATATTGAAGATGACTGCAATGGATGTATGGTAGATTGAGAGTCTCGAATGTATACTCGCAGTCGTTCTTCACTCGCTCACAAACACCCCTACACGGTTTGCCATACGGACTTTGTGGATCCTGCGAGCAGGTTGGGTATACCGTTGAACAGAACAGCACACTGGCTGCCGAAGGGCTGCAGGCGACGTACGTCTCGATAAGAGGCCAGGGTGAGAAGAAGGTGTCTTGACCTACAAGGATACCATGGGATCTATTGTAGGCCAGGACAGATCGGCACTCTGCAGGGATGTCTTGGCAGTTGACCGGAATACTATCACTTCCTGCATTTGGATATTAAATGAGTTTGAAATGATTAGTATTATCTTAAATATTTCATGTTTTCATGTTTGTAGAACATAGTACGACTATCGGAATATGCGAGTGCTTTTCATGCATACCGATGTTCCACAAATTTTGTTCTCAGAACACGAGGCCCCAATTTATTTTCCTAATCAAGAACATACGTGGTCGTGTATATAAATGCACAGGGCTTACCTTGGTGTAATTTCACAGACCACATTACTATAGACACATGGGTATTAGATCATTGCGAGAGGTTCTAATTCGTACAATAATTCCACATTAACCAAATAATTCATGAATCACAGCCTAATAATCTTTAAAAGTATACAGAGCATTGGCTTGAAGCTTCGTGTACAGTCTTCATTTTCTTTGATATTCGTTGTTAACTGGTGCATAGTATCCTCATATCTTTCTCATTAACATAATCATGGTCCTATTCCAGATTTCCTTTACTAACTGATTACAACACAATAAACAAATAACATGATATTTATACATTATCAAAATTCTATATGCCTCTTGCCTTCATGTTTATAGCTTATTTGCTTGACGCAAGGCGGCGCCAATAGCTGATGTGGTCTCTGACGAGCCATGTAAGGGTGATATCGCACTTTAAAATGCTTGCAAAATGAACAGTACACACACTATGTTAAATTACTGGAGAGTGGCTAATTTCCTTTATATGTTTGATAAAATTAAAGTGCTGGTATAAGTCTAGTAATAACGCAATTTAAATGCCAACCAGTGTAAAATAGGCATGTTCGTTGTTTACAAACGGCTAATATATTTTTCAAACTGAACAAATTAGATTTCTTTTCACCCTGCTGCAGTATATGGTCCCGAGTGCAACAAAACTTGTATCAACCATTCATATTTACCTGGCGGATTATAAGCGGCTGGCGTAACTCCGACAGGAGCTGTGCCTTTAACTGGAAGGAAGAAAAAATATTCAAAATTAAAGGAACGTTAATTGATAAGGAATCGAATGTACTTCCAGGTTTGTGTGTAGTATGAAAACTTGATTATAACCCAATAACAAATTAAAAGATATAAATGTTTTATAAAGAAACTAACGGCCTTCCGGGAGAAAATTGATATTCAGTGACATCAGATATTTAGATCACAAGAAAAGGGAATAAACAATGCTTTGCTTCAACAAAATTTCGTACCCTTTGGTATTAAGGTTGATAAGGTAAATACGGGTAGAATTTACAGATGCACAGTAGATGAACAATTTTCAAGCATGAGTAACAATATTTAGACACCATTGACGTGATGGCATCTATCTCCCTCTACCCATCAGTGTTCCTTGTGATAGTATTAATGATAGAATTAATCTAGATCTTCTTGTTAAAGAGTAATTCTTCCCCAGTGTCGTGCTTACCATTTTCACAACGTGCGCCGTGATAGCTCTGCGTACATTCACAGATGTAAAAGGAGAAACCAAACGGCGAGCGTTGTTCCATGCAGGTACCTCCATTTACGCAAGGATCCCCTAAACATGGGTCTTCAAATTCTGTAAGGGGGAGAGATAGGGGGACTGTCAAAGTAAGGCGATGAACAGTGGTGTAACTACAGGTGGTTGCGGATATGTAAATTTTATCAAAAAAATTATATAAATATAATTATTTATAGTCCGGTTGACAAAATAATTGTTTTGCTTTCGGCCTTTGTCAAGAACAAATCTATTAAAAAACAACGTTCTTCAAAACTTGAAAAAGGGAAGCAACAATTGCTCAATGGGCACAGTTCAGAAAACAAAGGGGATAAGTCTTGTAGAAAAGATGTTGAAAAAAGGAAATGGCTGGGAATACGCGAAAGATATATATATTTTAAAATGACACCAACATTCTGAGACCCGAAATTCATCAGATATCACGTATTGATTCATAGAATACGACATACAAAGTAGGGGAGCGTATTTTCATTTTCAAAACATTGATTTTGTTATGAAAAATATATTTCAATAACCAAGAGCTCATCATGGAAATGTATGCTGTTCTTCAGATGATTGTCAGACACAGCTCTTTCATATGAAGTGTTCATACAAAACCAATATGTTGAAAAGATCTATGATACATTTTTTCTTCTATTTATCCTCTTTCGAGGGACTGTATTTGTTCATATCATAAAATAACAGCTATTACATCAGTGTTAATATACAGAATTCATGTAATTGTAGCATATCATATATAGTACACATGAAACTAATGTGACCTAATCACTAACTAAAATAATGAAAATATTGTTGTTACTTCGTTTGTATCGATCTATTAGATATAGCCCGACTATGTTTGAAATGATATTGTTCTAGAGCATCTCCATCATCCGGTACTTTCTACTCGTATAAAGAAGTACATGTCTTACCATTTTGACAAGTGATGCCATAGAATCGGTCCGAACAGCGACAGATCATTTGACCGTTGACCTCAAAGCAAGTGCCTCCATTCCGACAAGGGGAGCTGGAGCAGACGTGAGGAATGTCTGTCAAAAACAAAAACATTGCAACATTATTTAATATAAGTAATAATGATAAGAAGAAGAAAACGAAGAAGAAGAAGAAAAGAAAAAAAGAAGAAGAAGAAGAATGTATTCATATCGCATACTTTCCATATGTGGGTTCAAATGCACGTTACAGTGATATTGTTAGCAGAATAAGTTGCAAATATTATGCAACATATCCCTTTTCTAGCTTCTTAGTTTTTCATCGACAATACATTAGGAAAAAGATGGAAAGTTCAAGTGAGCCAAAGTAAGTGAAATATCTTTTTACTCTTCGCTTACCTTACAAACCTATCTTTAGATGAAATAAGATGATGACGTATCTTATGTTAAAATTTGCATTCTTGTATTCTTTTGCGAAAAAAGTAAGCATCGTAAAATCTGGCATGGGTCAGTGTTGAATTGTGCCTTCAACATTTAACTTAAATAAAATCTGTCAGTCATGTCAGTCATACGTTATCTAACTTATTTCATGAAAGATTAAAACTAATCTCGGTTATGCAGAAAGATAGCTGTGCTCCAAACACTTGTGTTTTATCAGTATTTTTGGGTAAAATCAATTCATAGAATGATTTAGCACATTAAATTAAAACGGTCAGTTTGATTGGTTATGGTATCATTTACCTAATTTCAAACAATTTTGGCTATCAATTGATATTTTGGGACAAATTTAAGTTGCAACCTAACAGTCGAATATACTTGTTACTTAGTTATCTACCTTATTTCAGAATAAAAAGTGTCATATTTATTTATTTAACTATTATGTTTTCTTTAAAACATGTGGTGTGACATAATTCTGTATTCAAAATTCTTATATAATCCCTTCCCTAAACCTACCGTGGTTGGATGTCAAGGAACTGGGGAAGCACACCTCGTCACTCTTGGATTCTGGCAATGTCCTACAGATTCTATTCCAAGTGTCGTTGAAAGATCTGTCCTTCACACAACGTGCTCCGACATCCTCGCAGAGAGAGCGACACGGGAGAGGGACGGGGTCGATCGCGATGAAGGGCTGGTAACAGGTAGAAAAGAGGATGCGGCACAAAAGTCGTTTTGCATCAGGATGACAGAGCGTTCCAATGTCGGATGAAAACTGGTAGTAGAGGTTAGCTCCTTCACTTGCTGTCCGGCCAAGCCCAAATCGGTTGGGGAAGAAGGCGGTGTTGTAAGGGAGATACTTGCGACAGCCTACGATAGGTATCGGGACGCAACCTGTATTATATTAGTGGTAGTATAGTAGTAGTAGTAGTAGTAGTAGTAGTGGTATAAATGTTGTGATGATGATCATAATAATAATAATAATAACTAGACATAATACTTGTTTGGAACAAGTATAGGTGGGCTGGTCAACTAAAATTTGAGACAAAATAGAGCAAAAATAAGCGAGATACTGCTAAAAAAACAATGTCATGGATGTAATGATGTAAACGAAATTCACCTTCCATAGGCATAACACGCAACGTAAGAAATTTCTGATATGTGCCCTTTAATCGTAATTTTCACTATGAATAATAATAATAACAACAGCATTAAGTGTTTTCAATTTTATTTATAATTTTGCATTACAAGTTGTCCCGTCAGACAACCACTTTGTTCAGTGGAGTTGGAGTTAGTTGACTGGGATGTAAGTGGCTAGGTTAGATGTGAAAAGCTCTCACATGTATATGAATATATGGGGTAATATTATATTCTCGTCAGTCCCCCCCCCCCCCCTCATCAATTGTATTTGCTTATAATATAAAGTTCTCTAAAAGGGTTACTTTTAATTACCATTTTCCTGTGTTATTTCATATGGTGTGGTTGGTAGAATAGTTGCTGTACTTGCTTCTGTAATCTCGGGTCCCGAAGTAGTTTCATCATTGAGCTCCAATTCTTGAGATGCAAAAGATGTTTTGGACGAGTTTGGAGTAACTCTAATGACGGATTCTGATAGTGTAGTAACGTCTAGCTGTTCCCCATCCGTAATGTTTGTCGTTATCAGCAAGTGCGATCCTTGAAGAAAAACAAAATAAGAAAAAGCATGGATTTTTGTTTGTCTATCAAAATCTTTCGAGGATTTGTGACTATAATGAGCATTTAAATAGGGATATTAAAGGTAAAGACCAGCATTGGAAACGCCCCAATTTCAAAAAATGAAATGGAAGCTCTCATTACCAATCATGTGAAAGAATATGTTTTGACTAATACATGATGATAAAAATTTGCCGGGAAACCGCCTAATAATTCATATATTTGGTAAATTTGTTTCTCTCATGGTCTGTGAGAGATATAGGGTAGTCCCATATACATCTTTCTGTGTATAGTGCTTGTAACTTTACGAAGAAAGGGCCAAATTTCTTATCATTTTGATGATTCCAGAAATTTGCAGATGCTAGATGCTAGATGATCAACCTTTTCTGATCGATTCCACAACGTTTCTTTCACAATGCAATCGCATGACCATAACTGGTCTTTACCTTTAAACAAATATGTAGAGGTGTACATCCCTTCGAAAACATTGAATGAGTATCTCCGGACAAGAATCATGTCAGAGGGTCATGAAGTATTCCTAATATGATTGATCAGACCTTAAAAGTATAACATTTATTTTTCGAAAATGCATGTTGGAAAATAACAGCTCAGAGTATATTAAAACACAAGGTTATATGAGAGGCACTAATGGTAAGAGCATCCTTTTTTAGAGCTGTATGAAAAGTATACTAATATATAATTCTTTAATTATCCGGTTTTCCTAATATTCCGTGCGACACTGTCACACAATTACACTTTTTTCACCACCATGTCAAAATATTTAGATAATATAATTATTTAACAACTGCAACGGCTTTGAACGAAAAAATGGACCTCTCAAGGAATAGTATAGGGGAACCTAAGGCATGTAATACAGATTAGAGTTTTTCAGCATATTTTTGGAGAATGAACATGTTTCAAATCAAGTTTTTACTAAAATCACGGAAAAGAATGTTCACTTTTAGAGCTTAGGGTTAATTTGGAACATGTCCCCCAGGGGTGGCATGCAGCAGTTGTAGTGTGGAGAAAAGTAACCAAAAGCATCTAAAATAAAAAGCAGATTGACCTTTACGGCTTTTGTTCCTTCAAGGTGAATGTCTAACATAGGGAAAGCCAACCTTTCATTGATGAAAGTTTGAATGAAATTGGACCAGCAAGTTTATTTGAAATCACTAATACCTTATCGGGATTGCAAATTGACTGAATTTGCAATGTCACTGATGTAGTGGTAGACAACTCTGCTACGCACATAATTTATAATGTATCATTTTGTTTTTCAAAATGTATGATTCGTTAGGATCTTTCTCTTTTCTAAAGACCTTTAACAAGATGCCATTCATTTCAGTGCTGCCCCGAGGGCAAGGGTCCTTAGGAGAAAACCCTATAAGAAATGATGTTTTCAGGTACAACAAATTGATGGGTTGTCCCCTTATAATCATGTTAAGGTCGAATGACCAATTTGAGATGACAGTAATAAGGGTTACAGCTTTTATTCATAACTTTCTAATTCTTGTCAGATTTCGTTCAAACTTTCAGTTTCGTTTCTCTAATAACCGATTTTCTTCCAAAACAATTTGTTAGAAAGATAGAAATGTACTTTAACCTCACTTTGATAAAGTACGAGTATAAGAAGGGCCACCACCGTGCAGATGAGAGCAAGTACTGCCAGAAGAACGACGTTGAAAACGATGGTGGAACCTCGGGTTCGAAAATGACAGTATGATATACAGTAGCCGCCCTCTGATTGGTTCAAAGTGGGGCGTGTGTTGTGAACCTGTCTGGTACGCCTTCTGTAATTTGCTGGCCTGTAATCGTTGGAATTTACAGGTTGGATAGTTGGTTGCGTCAAATCGCATTCCCATGGTAATACATACATCTGGAAGGAAAAAAAAAATTTTAATAAAAAATTATATTAAATGATAAGGTTACACTTTGAACATGATGTCGATTTAGTAAATCCCAATCCCAAACGGAAAATGTGTCATTTAAACATTAAACATGCTTGTAGAGTGGTCCACACTAAAGAAATTGGGTTAATATTAAGGTTTATGGGTAGGGTTAGGGTTGCTGTTACAGTTTAAATGTTTATGTTTTTACAGGACATGATAAAAAGGAAGAGTTAAGGTATTAACTGGAGAGATGGAAGGTATAAGGTGGGGGGGTGCCAGTCCCCCTCCCCTCCCCCCCACACACACATAAACACAGGTGCCATCATTGCCGAGCGCTCAAGCAGTCGTTTTGATGAGGTCTGAAGACTCGACATGAGAATATAAAATTAAGAAGACATTTACTACCTTTCATCATCAGCGAAGTTGAATCTTTTGATAAAATGACCAAATATATTGTGAACGTTTTCAAATTCAGAGTTTACATCAAGTCAACCTCCCAGCTAGGCGGTGACGAAAGCTTTGACGATAGATATATGTATATTTAAAAAAATTACCCTGTTTGTTTGGTCAAGGTACGAACCAGACTAGATTTTTTTTTTAATCAAACGTAATACTTTTTAATCAGTCAAGGACCTAAATTTCGCGTCTAATTTTCATATTATCCAATCGTTTCCAATCACAACATTATACACATCACATCATAATATCACAGTGTTGCACGCGATGGAGAGCTACTCTTTTTCAACAAATGAAAGCGCCCCTCCTCACTCTCTTTCTCCTCGTTTCGGAAACCACAGGTACCACTTATTTTACATAAAGTGCCTCTTCTCATGAGTGTTCTTTTCAACATTTTTTTTGAGATAGATAGTGAAAGTAGCCCACGAAAATCTGTCCACAAGAAAGGAGGCTAAGCTCAAGCTTGATCTCGCTACAGTGTTTACAAAGTGTTCAAGCGACATACGCACGTATTAATTCCATAGTACTCGCCTCCCCTTTCCCTCTTTAGTCAACAATAATAATGATAATAATAGTACGTTCATTTATAAAGCGCCCTCACACAGCGCTTTACAAGGTATAGGTATGAAGGTGGAAAAATCAGTTAAATAAAGTGCGACAGAAAGAAGGGGGACGGTGCCCATGTTGGTAAGTTTCGGCGCACGTAACAGTACAAGAACTGCATCGAGATTTATGGACAATTCATCATTAGCCTAAATTGCTGTATTAAAATAAAATATGATGTTTCTTGTTTTCATTGGATCTCTGCGTGTGTTCGTTTCAGGGCATTATCCTTGTCGACATAGGTCAAAGTATACACGGCTGACTGATAATTTACGGGCATGTACACATGTAAAAGGTCGACCCTTACATTTGTAGTTGTTTATAGCATATAGTCATCTCCCTGTCTCCCACAACGACGCACGATTAATATAAACACCACCAGAGATCACGTTATTTATTATTTTTTAACAGGGTGTCGGATTTGGTCTTCTTAGGCCTACTCTAAAAACGGGCATGTTGACGTCTTTGTAGATACAAAATTATGATCATCCGACGAATGAATCGATTTACAAACATATTCAAATTTATAGATTTCTCTTTCCTGGGGACCTAGTGACGAGCTTTTCCATTAAACTGGTATTAATCAATGAACTACAATACCTGGAATCCATTCTGCATACATTACTTGTTGCTATGTCGGACAAGCTTTCAGGTTTTCAAGAACAACATTTGTTTAACAATAATGCATAAAATTTGAATTTGTAAGTACATAAAGAATTTGAAGCAGACCAAGATGCTTTCCTTGTTTTTGGAGATTTGTTTTTCAGGAAAGCGTTTTAGGACGCACAAACTTCGGGGAAACACGTTCATATTATGTTTATGCGATAAGCACGTTTTCATTGAATTATGTTTTGAGATTAAACAGGCACATGAAAATGTGATGTTTATTTTTGCTTGTCAGAGTTTTTCAGATAGGGAAGCATTTTAAAAGAGGTGATAAAAATGTGATTGCTTTCTTCTTCCTTGTTTTGGCCTGCTTGTCGGAAACACTTCGGAGAATTAAAAATGCACATGAAGATAATATTACATAAACCCTCTCCCATTGGATTTGCTTATACACCATTGTTTCTGGGTCTACAGGCCAGGTGAATCGTATTGAAAATGAATACGACGAATTATCATTAGTTAAACTGTATTTATCCACTTTTGCCCATAAAGTTCGAGAAAAAAAATCTTGCCTCTTTTCATGAAATGATTGTGACAATAGTATTACTTCTTGATGGGCCTACATGTATAACAGATTAATATCTTCTTAGAACTTCATTGATCAAACTTTTTTAATCAACCTTTACTTCTTAATAAAATCAATACATTTCTGAGAAGATAATAACTTTCTTTATCATGAATAAACCATAATCACGGTCATTTCATGAAAAATAGGTAAGACAGGTGAATTCCAACTTCATGGGCTACCGTGTCCAGGCAAATAAATCATTCTGTCATGACGCTGGGAATGAGATAAAGGTTTCAATATGAAATTAAAGATCAGGAACAAAATCGTCTGTTAACTACCGAAAGGGAGAGAGGAGATGAGAGAGGCGTTATCCATATCAAGAATATGTACGGTTTTGAGAACTATACATTGAATTTTGCAGAACACATGCACTTACCTGATGTATTTCATTTCGCTCTACTTCCCCTAGGGTCTCTGAGATATGTCTCCATGGCGTATCTTCCATACTTTTCTTTTCCTCAAAGCTTTTCTTCAAGGAACTGAAATATCGTTTCTAAATCACGAAACAAGGTTCGCAGACGACAAAGCAGCCGATAACACGGCATCAACACGGGTATCAACACGGGCATCAACAATCGATAGTTTCCATGGAGTTTCAAGGCCGGTAATGATGAGCAACTGCTGCTATCCAAGATTTCTCTCGAAGTTAAAAGTCGTGTGGGGTGTACAATTGTCATGAATAATTGAAGCTGCGGAATGCGGCATATTCCATAATTCATGTTATCACTGTCACAAAGCAATGAATTTGCGATAACAACCAATCAAATCGTTGTAAATCTGTCGCTAACGTTAGGTCCGATCGAAAGTTTTTACAAAGTCTGTGGTCATGATCAAGAATGTCAATTTTAAAACCCAAAAGAGGATGAAAGTAGTTATTAGGGCAAGACCGTAGTCCGTAGTCTTGTCCCAATAAGGGATATCTTTAAAAGAATGTTAGGTTAACATGTAAATGATATTTTGAGTGGGTGGTGAAATACGAGTTTACCACGAAGGAGACATGTTGACGACGAACGGAAGCTAAGGCACAATCAAAATAATCATGATAGCAGGTAGAGAACCAAGTTCAAACCCGATCCACACATCGAAGGTCGAATGTTTCTTCCTCATGCTCATGCAAACTGAAACTGCTCTTTGATAACTAACGAACAAAAATGTGATGCACAATCTGAAGCGAGAGGACCAAGTTCAACTCAACCCATACATCGACGTCATACAGGTTGTTGCTTCTCGATGGTATCAACAAACTCATGACCGCAAGGCAATGTAACGCTCAATCAAAATAATCATTAGGCGAGAGAAAGTTCTAACCCAATCCACAAATCAAGGCAAAGTTGTCTCCCTCATACAAACTGAGGGGCTGCTCTGTCACCGTCACACCAACGCGAGACCGACGTCAGACTGAAAACAGACTGAACAAAGATTACATGTCCAACACGGCAGCCAAGACTTTTAAAGATCAACTTCAAGACTGAATCATAACTCTTTTGCATCATTTATTGAACGTGGGAACATTTTAATGACCTGTCACGTAATCTGAACATGACTTCTATGGGATACACACCAACGTATTTTATTGAAATGTTGATTTCTCAAAGGTCTTTGCGATCTCGTTTTCCCCTGAATAGAAAAGAATGTGTCTGTCTGGAATCGTTGTGGAGTCAGTTTGGTGGTGCAACTCAAGTAGGCCTATTACTCCTTAGTAATACGAGTATGTACGCCATGGGAAGGGGGTTTAATGAATCTGGGTGTAATGTTTCCGAAATTATCCAAAGACCATAAAAGAATATACCCCCTGCCTATATATAGAAAACGTAAGGATAATATGTGTTTACTGACGTGTATACATTATTGTTACGAAGGAGCACGGGTGGTATGTCAAACATAGAAAAAGAAGAATGTCTGACAAAAAGTAGGCCTAAGTAGTGATAAGATCCAGGTCCACTCCCCCTCCCCCCCCCCCCCCCCCCAAACAATATGCATTGTGTCTACCGAACAGCGTACATATCAGGGGAAATTTAAAAAAAAAGTAGACTGCGGAAAATGAGACAAACGACAAAAGTTACTTTTTTGATAGGAAGGTCAAGGTTGACATTACATCAACCGACACGGCGTCTACCCATTTTTATATTTTTTTTCTTTTCAGCATTACACATCATCTATCATTGGTCTCTAGGGTGGGAAGGAACCAGTTTGTTATGATGAATTCCCCCATCATCTTGTCATTTTCTTGGCAAAATGTAGAATGGTGAAGAATAACTTCGATTACGATTGGCTCCGTATTTATTCGAATTGTCACTTTAGTCCTAAGAATAAATTAATTAATCTTCTCCCTTTGACTTTATTGATTTCTTGTTTCTCGTCCCCTTCATTTTTCCATATCCCCCCCCCCCCCCCCCTCCTCATCCAAAAATAATAAGAACAAAGAGAAATATGTTACTTGAGATTTTACCTCATGAAATAAAAAAGGGAATTTAGCAACGGGGTACCCCCAATCATTGAATCAATGCAATATTTCAACCCGTATTAAATCCCTGTAATGCATGGACAAATTACAGCTAATCAAGAAGAAGTTATGTCAAAATTGACTATAATTGTAAGTGATATAAAATATCGACGAGAAAGTTTGGAAATTTGACCCGATGGGTGTCCGAATCAGACCCCGCCCAGGTCACCTGTTTCTTGTGATTGCTTTCAGTGGATTCTTTGCCCAAAGTGTCAGATGGGTTTAACAAGATCAAGAAGATGATAGTTACATCGTTAAGGTGATCTCCGAGTTGATTGACCGATTTGAAGGGTTGACTTGATAACTATTTCCAAAATCATTCGACTCTCATTGATCACTGTCATCCATCGTCGGCGGCTTAGCTAGTTACAGGAGCACATGCTCCCTAGCTGATGACTCGAAAGGAAAAAGAAAAGAAAAGGAAAGGAAGGAAGGAAGGAAGAGCAGCAAGGCAAAGCATTGCACCCCCTTCTTCACCCTCACCCGTCTTGATGACCTTGTTCTTCCGCATTTCATTCACATATTTAGAACGGTGCCGCCCCCCCCCCCCCCCATGGTCATTAGACACAACTATGCCACTGATATAAGCATTTTCATATTTAGTTTTAACGCATAACAATAGCACTTTTCAAATTGTCAAATTAAATCATTACAATCATGACAAAGCCCTGATTGCAACAATTTGTAAAACAATTTTTTCATTCGTGTACGGAGCATCATTATGTATTGTATTTTTGTGTATTTTTTCCCACTCCGAGCAGAGCCGTAGACTTTCTTCTATATCAAAAAGCCTAAAGCTTTTGTGTGAGTTTGACAATTCAGATTATTACATTTAAAAGAAAGCGATATACCGTGTATTCATGTAGATTATTGATAACAGCTTGAATTCAATTATTTTACCATGGTAGCAACAACAGGGCGAGGCATCCACTAACCGCCTCCACCCGCCGTCCCTCCGCCCTACCTCCACCCCTAAAGAGGACTGTCATATCACGCCCTCAGTCACGTTTCATATTAGCAAAGCAGGGGGCCAGAGTTTATTGCTGTCACTAAATCCGGCGTATCGAGCTGCGTGAGCGACGAAGGGGGCATTGAGGTCACTCTATTTCTTTTCTATGTTCATTTGAAGATGTCACATTCATTATAGTGAGCATGTTAACAGCTGTGACAGACGATCGATGAGAAAACATAAATTTGAACGCCTGAGGGCGGGAAGAACAGGTTGTTTTGGTAAGACTTTCCGAATTTAATTCAATTCGGTACGATTCAATGCATATATTTGTCCGATGTACTTTCAACATGGATATTTGTGTCGCCCATGCACATATAATTTTGTTTTTAAATGCTTAGACATAGTTTACAAAGAACAGAAATAGGCTATAAAACATGGATTCATGTTGGTGATGACAAAATAATAATTATACATAATATTGATTATTCGTTTGGTTGTCTGTGGCTTTTTTCATTTTCTTAACTTACATAGTTTGGCTATCTTCATGCATATTTATATATAAACATTATTTACTACTATACACATAGAAAATTTCAGCTTTTAAACCGAGTTGAAGTATATCGGAATAAATCTGATATACGGGGAAATAAAAATACTGAATTATATGGGTAAATGATAATCAGGTTAATGATTATGCAAGGCTATCATATCACTTTCTTTAACAACCTTTCTAATTGTCCATGTAACTTATTTCCATAATACTAAGAATAGATAAACATATTAGTTACTGATTTCAATATAGTTCAAATATTAATTTCGAAAGTTCTATTAGACATGGGTAATCACTTATATCAATGTCCCGAATTCTCGCTATTATCATGTCAAATATGGATATTCTAACAGATATGCAGCGTTCACGTAAGTGAAAGCAAAGGCCAACACTATCAGTGTAACAACATTATGACATTCGTCATTTTTTTTAAAGTTACATGAGGTTGCAGATAACAAGAAATATAATTCAAGCTGTATAATTTGATAAATGAGAACTAGCGTTTCAGTCAGATTTCAATTAGTTCACTTTCATTTCCTTCTGACAAACTGTACAATATCTCAGCAATACAAATTAATAAAGTAAAGTTTCTAAGAAGGAAGCGAATAGCTGTAAAGCAAAGGTTGTGTTAGGAGCGCGATGAACAAATATTGTGTTTAAGAACATTGTCTCAACAGAGTAAGGAAATTAGATGGGAAAAGGCGAGAAACAATGACAAATTGGGAATTGACATGAGATATGGACAATTTTTAAAGAATAAGCTGATAGCTGTGGCTATTTTGCAAGGATGGAAGGCGCCCTCTATCAGATTTGACTACGATCGCTGAGGTGGGCGGTGGGGGGGGGGGGGGGGTGGTCTCCTGAATCTCTAACAGTGACTCCAAGCCTCCAAGGACGACAGATCAGTTACTAAAATAGAAACATTAGAAGCTTTTCTTTCAAAGGAAGCCACAGCAACCAGAAAACAATTTGATGTGGAATTATACTGGCTAAAATGAACACAATAGAGAGAGAGAGAGAGAGAGAGAGAGAGAGAGAGAGAGAGAGAGAGAGAGAGAGAGAGAGGGGGGGGGGAGAGGGGGGGGAGAGGGAAGGGTGATGAAATGGCGAGCATTGCTGACTTTCTCATAGATGTCACCTAAGACAGCGCCTCGATGACAAGCACACATGCATTAGCCAAGAAAAAAGACAAGAACGCTGCAGGAAAAGGTCATCAAAAACTGATTGATGGGAATAATATTTATAATAGCAATGTAAGAAAGAGTTATAGATCTGCATTTTATTGGAAATATTCATAAATATGAATCCAAAAGTGCAGGTCTTCGAGCTAAAGTGAAACCGGCGGAAGAAAATTTAATATTGTATTATACACTAAAAATGTTTATGTATATACACTTTTCAAAATGTATAAACAGCTTATACACAAGTTACACAGGATATAAATTTTAAATGGATATCTACCAAAGTTTGGTATACTTTTGTTGTTGATACTCACTGTATATATATATATTTTAAAGGCAACAAGCTTTTAAAGGTCAACCTTTCTGTCTTCCATAGCTCCATCTGACAAACATATGAGATATACATCCTTGGAAATTCTCTCCAGATTCTTACAATAACCAGGGAGTTAACTCCCTGCAATAACAACGTTATAAATTATTTAGCGCATATTTTGGGATGAACGAAATATTTAACAGATGACAAAATATGGTACTCGTGACAAAATACGATCCAATCGTTAAAGGGGAATTCCGCCCTGATATCAACCTGGTTTTAATATAGCAGAAAAAGGGAAAAACAAAATAGTAAAAGTTTGAGCAACATGCGATTACAAATAGGAAAGGTTTTTTTTAAAGTTGTCATCAGTGAAACACAATTTTTTTCGCTCAAACTTTCACTGACCATTTTATCTCATTTGTCTGCTTCTGAATGATCCTCTCCTTATATGATTTTAAAACTTACCCTAATACATCACCGAGTCCTCTAAAAACGGTAGTTTCCGTGAAAAAAAGAGTTAATAAACGCATTTGCCGAAAAAATTGACTGGTTTGATGTCGTTTATGTCAACAATAGCCTTAAGCCACGTCTGTGATTTTTTTCCCGGCAATGTTTTTGTTCCCAAATGGAGGGGTCGCAACCCCTACACCTAAATCTCTCATTTGTCCCGCCTATGCGTATCTGTATTTTATTTACTGGAAACGGGGGCAGATTTTTGTATAAAAAAGGATATTGGATAGTGGAGACATACTTTAATACGCTAAAATAACCACAAATTAATTACAGCGAACATTAATAATTTTACCCCGAAATAACTCATTCACCGTTTAACATAAACTAAAACTAAAATTTCGGTTTACTTTTTTTGGGATAGGTTTCAATTAAAAGTCTGG